CGGTATCACTTTGTGTTGCAAGCCAAATCCATGTAAAGGTTCTACTTGAGCCCAATTTAAATACCATAAAGAAAGTATTGAACCCAGCTCAAGCTAAATGTCAAATGTATTTAATTAATGTACAAGTGTTTTGATTTATTTCAAATGTTCCAGTCTAGCTTCTTTCGAGTTCAGTCTAAGCAACAAATTGTTTCTCATAACATTCTCACTGCTGTCCCAAATGTTTTAACCTTGGGCAGACAAGCTGTTCACACACCCACACACTTTGGATAAGTAGTCACCTTATCCACATTGTAAATTGTTGCCTTCTTTAAAGATATTAGTAATTTAAGATTAATTATTAAATTAAATGTAGAATAAGATAAAATAAATAAAATAACTTGACTTGATCATTTTGTTCACAACATTAGACCTGTCCTCTAATCTCTACTAGAATAAGATAAGTGTGCATGTTTGGATGTTTTATCACTCCTGTAATGTACCTAATCTTGATATCCTTTTCATTACAGAGCTGGGAAAATGGTGTATTGATTAGATTCTGATCCGTGCAAGTCCAATTTTGACTGACTTTAGTTCTAATGTTAATTTGACTTCAACCCATAAGTAATTATTTAAATTAACTCTAAATGTCACATGATGATGGATTAGGGTTCCACATTTCTTCCACTAATTTGTTTTACAATTAGGCCAAAGGTAAAGAGAGACATTGATGACCTTGTGTCCCTTTTGTTAGTACGTGGTTCCATTTTGTCTATGGCCTTGGACGGCTTCCCTAAAAGTCACCCAGTTCTGCCCTGCTGCAGTCCGGCTGAGTGCAGTCACAGAGATGCTATGGCTGCTCTACATGACATTAATGGTCTGGTCTGAATGGACACCATTTCCTGCTCCCAGAGAGAATGACACTCCTCAAACTGAACATTACAGCCGTTGATACTGTCTCACATGGGTCTGCTCCCCCCCACTGAGCCATGAACTGAAAGCATGACATCTGCTATGAACACTTGGAAGCCTCCCTGTCACACCAGCACCAACCCTTGGGTCAGTCAGATGAGACTAACGGCTTCACTTAGGGCATTTGGTTCAGATACATGGCTCTCGTTACCGCAGAGTGGGTTGTTTTTAAGGCTATTCATACTGCTATGATGCCTGTAAGTGGGCGAGCTGGTAAAAGCCCCTACTATTGTTTCAAATAGGCCTAATGTCAGGGGTCTCTTAATGTCTAGTTCTACATGTATTCACATTATATAGACAATGTTTCCACCTGGTAAAACTAAAGGCTGCACAAAACTCAGGCTACAATACAACCATTCTGTTCTGCTCTAACGATTCAATGTATAGATTCTACATCAAAACAATTAGCTTTTATTGTTTCCAATGATAACGTCACCTTAAGTGGAGGAATGCAAACCTGTTTTCAAATGTAAGGTTTTGATTTTGTTTGACATTTCTCAGTAATGACACCCTCAGACACCCAATATCATTCATGCTATGCCTTCAGTAATAACTCAGATGTTAAAGGGATGAAACTTTTCCTCCCAAATCAGATATGCTTTGTTTTTCAACAAATGTATCAATTTCCTGCATAATATATGTTTATCACAATGGTTTTTTGTAAGCTGCACACAGGTGATACTGAGTCTTCTCGATTAATAGATTATAAACTATACCATGCTTAAATAGACTCCTAAGTTATTATTTCATATGTACCATATGTAAGAAAAGGAGGGAAGAGTCAATTATATTGAGTAATTGATTTTATATTGGGTAATTTATTTCTCAAACCTATGTTTTATGGAAGAGACTAAATATTTCTGATAAACTAATATTTTATCAAAAGGTAAATGGTGAATTAATATACATTTAGAATCATTGAGAAGGGGTTATATCCACAGGGACAAGCTCACCTTTAACTTACAATAACATGTCTCTGCTATGGACTGATGAGTATATGATTCTTGCATGTTCAATGACTAACACAAACCTTCAAAATGATAATGTGCATGTGTCAGGAAGGCTCCCAAATCATTCTGAGGGGCCTATCCTATTTTTGTAATTAAATGATAATGTGCTAATCCATTACTTTGAGTTGTCTTCACTCAGAAAAACATCCCTATCAGGTGTTAACCCAATAACTAGGACAGCTCTCAAGGCCAAGGGTCAGAGAGAGAGGGTCACACTCTCCGGGTGCAGAGAGCACCCCCAGCCACGTGCAAGGAAGCACGAGGTCGTTCGAGATGGGATGCTTCTCTTCACCTTTCTGATAAGAGGGGGTTCTTCTCTTCATCTTTCTGCTCGGTGGGCTCTAGCAGACAACCCTGCAGGACGAGCGAGGGTTTCAGAGGTTTCTATAATACAATGTTCCATGTTTCTTGGAGGAGTTTGATGTCTTCCTAACCTCTCCCATCACGGGGGGGACACCTGGATGCATCAGGAATACGCAGTTGCTCTCAAGCAGATAGCAGAAGGAATACCGGCAGATGAGCCTCCGTCTCACTGGGGATCAACTACAGTGCTCACTGAATGAGCCACACAAAAGCAGAGCAATTGGGGGGTTGAAATATGGCGCTCTGATGAAGAAGAGTTTGAGCCAATCAGCACCTCAGTGCTAATCTACAGTATCAGGATGCCTTTACACACCAGACACTCGGTGTCATAAAGGGAGGAGGAGAACGAGTCAGGAAGACTGACGGACATGTTCTTCCAGCTCTCGTACAAAGATGAACTTTGAATTGAATGACCAGATGTTTAAAGATGTACAATTAATGATTGGTTTTTATATTTCCAATGACCAGACATGTGTTAAATAGTGGTGATAAATATATTTAGTCAGATCAGATTACATTTTCACACTAAACAAAATTAATAAATAAATATTCTCAGATTATAAGGTATTGAATAATAAGGTATTTCTAATATTATAACAGATAATGTTAATATCCTTAATCATCCAGCACTCAGGCTTAACAACACTACTCTGTAATGTATTACCCATGCACAGACAGACCTAACATGATGTTTCAAGGACTGGATTAATTTCAGTTTTGGCCCAAAACAAATATTTATAATAATTCATATAACAATTATGCAGCATATTTGATCCTCAAATTAGAGAAGCATAATTTAAAGAAATTGATATTCTATATTCAACATTAGATAAACACAGAAGAACCCTTTCCAAGTACCATAAGTAGATGTTCAGGTAAATATGGCTAATAAGAATAAGTGATAGACTTAATTTGGTACAGATCAGTTGTAGCATTTACAAATGTATGAATTAAAGTTTTAAGAATGTTTAATCTTTCCTTTCCAGGTTTTTACAAAAGTCTTTGAATATTTGCCTAACTTTTCCTTTTCAGACTAAAATGAATGTATTGATTTTTCTAAGACTAAGTGCCTTACTCTTGACTAAAGCGTAATGAAGTAAACGTAAAGTAATCCTAAAATTGAGGACACTGCAACTTTGCCGATTACAGATTGATCAAATCACCACTGTGAATGTTATGCCTTAGCTGGATCTCTTATGATCCTAAGTTTTAAATGCTTTTGACTAGTGATTGTCTTAAAGCAAATCTTTAAGCTGTTTCTGGTTTTGATTTTATAGTTTGATAAATGACATTAACTAATGGTTTAAAATGATAAAAGATATTAGTTTAAAACAAATATTTTGCTTTTATGTATCTGTGTTTTTATGTGTGTTCATTATTGTATTTATTGACAAAAGATGCTCCAAACACTGATGAGAGATACTGTTTCCTATTATGATTGCCTGTATCAATCATTGTGATTGAATGTTTCAATCTTACTCTACTTTGTGATGTAATTGAATGTAAGGTGAGACCACACTCAAATCTGAAGACGCCTATTGATTTAAGTATTGACCAGAATTATTAGACTAATGTTTTAAGGTTATCAAAAATGATAAAAAGAGAGGAACTGTTAAGGAATAATTCTTCTAGATATCTAACCTTTTGCTCTGTGACGTTTTATGATCTACTCTGACGTCTGTTATCTCCTTTAAGGAAAGGCCTTGGTGCCATATGTGTTGTTGTCACCAGTTTGTGACCGGTCAACTTGACTGGCACGAAGAGTAATTGTTGTGAGAACACTGAGGCACTTCTTTATCGGTGTTTGTTGGCTCTCGGATGTGAAATCCTTGAGGCCATGAGCGTTGGACGCAGATGATTCAGTGTTTAGTCTACTCCTTCAGAGATGTTGATTCTCTGTGAACCAGTTCAAAGGTCTAGCATAGAGAGAGGTTCTTCAGAATTGACGTGGCAACTCTACCGTGTGGTCAGAACCTCTGACTCTTTGATTTGTGATGTGAATCCTCCGGCCGAATACTCTGAATAAACCCATCAGTGTTTGACATCAAAGCTCCAACTCTCACCGTGTCTCCTTCCTGAGTCGGTGACTCCATGCATTACTACACAGAAGTTTCCTCCACACAAGGTGTATTACATTTCTTTGTGAGCTAATATTGCTCAATAATTATGTGATTATGTGTGTTTTGTTTTCTAAACACAGCTTCCTGTGGCACATCCAGACCCACAGGACTGGTGAGTACAATTTAGTTTTTATCTTGTATTTAAAAAATATTCTTAAAAATAAATTGTAAGAAAATGGCACCATGTAATTTCTGTGTGTTTTAAATTAAAAGATAATAACTAACGGTGTTCATGAATATAAGCAGATTAATTAAAGGTATAGTGTCCACCAGTATTACAAATTGGTTAAAAAACAGAGCAGCTTATTTTATTAAGTGTTGAATAATTAATATATGTTTTAATATATTTGATTTTCCATTTATTATACTCAACTGGTAGCAGCAGTAATGTCTCATATCATCACCCACATGGTGCTTTAGAAAAGATCATTCTTGAATATCTTTTACACCAAATATAATTTAAAAAATGTGATTTCATGAGAAAGTTTTCCCACTGTGAGCTTAAAGAGTTCACAACCTGTTTATCGATTATTGTGACGTCTTTAAATGCAACATCCAGAAACAGATCTTTCTTTATTGAAGTTTTATTGATATAGATGTGATGGTAACATGAAAACATCCAACATTTACTGTATGAAGCCATGAAGGTAAAATACATGAAGAGTGAATGAGCAAAGACATAGGTTGCCATGGTTATTAATTAATCTAAATCACCTTGTGTTTATTGTCCAATTTAAGGAATATTAATTGAACTGGATTTGGATGGTTTTAACAATGAATGGCCTTTATCTGTTGTTGCACATTATGAATACTTGAGATATATACATCTGAGATTCCCAAACTGTAACTGATTTTTTAAACAATATTCAGTATTTATAGATTCATTGAGTGATTCAAACGTTTTTGTAATACCTTCTATGCAGTATAGCTACATTTAAAAAAACGATTAAAAGTGAGGCAGATAAACAATTAAAAGTCAAAAAACAAAAATACACTTTTTTTTTTTTTGCATGAACACAATCCCATAATCGTCAAACAAATGTTACAATCACAGACACATTTTCAAAATTCAAGACAAACAATTTGATTATGGAATAAAGACACATCTAATGCTAATATGATTAATGATGGCATCTCTACAAACAATTCCAACCGGTGCACACGCGTTACAGCATAAACGAGACACTGCAGGACGCTCAAAACACAACGGAGACCAGGGGACACTAAAGAGTGACGCACACATCTGGGAGACTAGGGGACATTAAAAAGTGACGCACACAGCTGGGAGACCAGGGGACACTAAAGAGTGACGCACACAGCTGGGACCGGAGCGCTTGGTGACGTTCAGGATTGTAAAGCTGGACAACTGTCTCTGTTGTTGGAAACTTACCTAAAATGTTTTATAAGCTTATTTTTAACAATGTGATCACATGACTCCTTCGGATGTTACTGCAGATCTGCTGTAATCTGAAAGCTTAGATACAAGATATGTTATTACGGTGGATATATGTATATGGATGATAGTGTTGAGGACTAAAGAGTAGATGAAGGAAAGAGCAACTAAAGTCTGTAATGCATTATTTACTTTTTCTAAAGTTAAGGCCAACTCAGTTTCTCTGTAGTTGGTCATTGCTAGAATCTAAACACACCGATGTAGATGAAGGAAAGAGCAGCTAAAGTCTTAAATGCATTATTGGATATTGTTTCTAAAGTTAAGGCACACACACACACAAGCTTAGTTTCCTCTGGATGTGGTCATAGAGACTTTACACACATATGTAGACGAAGGAAAGAGCAGCTTAAGTCTTAAACACACAGATGTATTTGGTCCTGCAAAACTACACACGACATGAAATATGGAACATCGTTTATCCCTCCCCCCGAATACAGGTAAAGATAATAAATCATTTAAAAATCATAGAGAAAATAATAAAAGGCAATGCTTTAAACGTAACTCAAAAAACAGAAAAGATATAACCTATTTACATCCGGAAAACGTTTAAAAAAGAAAAGGCCTGGCTTCAAATCTAGTCGATTTAAAAGAAAATGCTGCACTCTCCTCTCTTGAAAAGGTTGGAATATTTCTGAAGTCGTAGCATGTTTTTGTATTTGGTTGTTTTGTCTTTATTTTTATTTTTTTATTCTTTTCGTAAAGATGCCTAGCATTGCTTGTGGGAATTACGCTTATATGACACAAGCTAGGTTATACTGTACATTTACATATCATTACATTTAAATGATGCTTTTGTCCAAAGCGACCTACAATAAGTGCAGTCAACAATGAAGATACAAACCATTGTTAATGCAATTGGATTAATAAGCAGCCATTCTGTATCAGTGGCAAGTCTTTTTTTTTTGACTTATTTGCAAAGGTAAGTCTTAAAAGGCATATTTAAGTCTTTGTACTGAAGTGACAGGATATTTCCGTCGCAGTACTTGCGTTGACGACCCTTGGTCAATAGAAAAGTCCAAGAAACAGAACTTCATCATGCAACAAAATGACTTATTTACAAGGCTGTAATCGATCAGCTGTATCACTGTCTACCTCTTGACTGGATCAACATTACATGTCACTTGTTAGACACTTTTACCCAAAGCAAATTACATACTCAATACTGTGTGCAATCCCAACAGGAGCAATTTGGGGTGAAGTGTCTTTCCCAGGGACACAACGACATGCTGACTGCAGTGGGACTCGAACCTACTCTCTCTATTCCACCTCCCGCACATCATCACCAAAACAAGGCATAAGACTGTGAGTTCTTGGGGACAGTGTAAAGACCAACTGCGGGATAGAGCGACGCGTTGAACGTTGTTTTAAAGGTATGGAGGCGGGTCCGGCTGTCGGAGGAAACCCTGTAGAAAGACAGATTGCCGGCCGGCTTATCCAGATACACCCCCACCCGACTGGAGCGTGAATGATGTGAAGGCACACTGACTTTCTCTCCATCGCCCGTAACAAAACAACCCTCATTGGAGCAAACCAGACACCATGACTTGTCGTTGCTTCCCAGCTTGCCATCATGCCCTTCCCTGCCAATGGATTTGTACGTTAATCCAACCATGAAGGGCTCCAACACCTCCATCTCCCAGTAGGAGCGTCCGTCGAGACCCTGTTCACACAACACCTGTTGGCAGGTAACAAACCTGTCTTTGTGATCGGGATACGGCTGCTCGACTTCAACCCAGGTCACCTTTCGGTTCTCTTCAGAGAGAAGGAGGTTCTTGTGGACTGTGTTGGGGTCCAGAGTGAGCTTACAGGCATCTAAAGGTAAGAACATTTTTTATTTTGGTAGCGTAGATTGCAGAATAAGTACCTTACCTCCAGGACTATTTGCAATATATTACTGTGGTCAGGACAATAACCAAATATCCAGGTTTTTCACAAATACTTACATTTCTTTAGTCCATCTATCATCCGGTGACTTCCACCGTGTTCAACACTGTAAAGAAACATTTGGGTTCAATCTTTCAGACAAAGAACAACCATTAAACTGACACTTTGTTGCTTAGTTTTACTGTATATGACGCCGTTTTACTTGAATTTAGAATAATCTTAAGTAGCTTTTCAATACACTCTATCTCACTATTGTTGATTTGTAAAGGTATGATGCTACCATTATTCCTCTGTCAGTTCTGTAGAAAAGATATCTGGTGCTCTTACAGGAGTTCGCTGAGCTTGTATTGTGTATTTTCTCTCAACTCAGACATCAGCTTCTCCCCAGAGTCTCCCAGATTGTTATAGCTCAGATCCAGCTTTAGGAGATGGGAGGGGTTGGACTTCAGAGCCGAAGCCAGATCAGTACAGCCTTTCTCTGTGACCTGACAACCTGACAAACTGAGAACAAACAGGGTTTGGTTTGTTAGCATGCAAGTATGATACTGGTCGGTTCACATTCCTTGCTATTAGTCCTGAAGTAAAATCTAATGGGAACAGGGTTCTATTCATTGTACTGCCAAGGGTTTGCCTCCGTCTGGCTTAACTTGCATTTATTCCACGGCTTAGTTGAATACTCGATTCTGATTGGTCAATTTGGACATTTCAGAGGTTGTTAATACTCGATAATGACCATTGCTAAGGACAAGGACGATATCGGTCCCTTGCAGACAAACGGACGCAGAAGGTATGAATCGTCCTTTAGACAGAAGGAAACATTAGAGCACATTTCTTTGTAAACTTCCTTTAAATACCTCAGCCTTTCGAGTCTGCAGCCTGGATTGGACAGTCCGTCACAGAGCAGCTTCACTCCTGAGTCTTTCAGGTCATTGGTGCTCAGATCCAGATCTCTTAGAGGTGAGTAGGGGAACTTCAGACCAAAGGAAAGATGTTTCACCCATTCTTCAGTCACTTTGCAGTCTGCGAGGCTAGCAGTGGATAAAAGGGTTTCAATATTGCAAGAAAAGTTGCTACTTTGTAAAGGAATACGTAAAAAAAGGAGATAAACTTACATGGCCTTCCTGCTGATCCTCACTGCTGGTATCAGCCTCCTTCTGCCTTCGTCTGATGTGTTGAAGCTTTTCAATTCCAACCAATCCAGCTGGTTCTTTGATACCTGCAGCATGTAGGCCAGCGCAGAGCAGTGCAGCGGAGTCAGCTCTGTTTTTGAACGATCGGACTTCTTGAGATATTCCTGAATCTCATCTTTCACTTTAGTGTCTCTCATCTCAACCATGCTCTGGAAGAGGTTGATGCAACTCTCTGGAGAAAGGGCCTTTCTTCGGAGGGCTTTAAGATGTGTCAAGATCTTCTTGTCGGTATCTTGGCTCGGGTCTGGCGATGTCAGGAGACCCTCAAGGAATCTGCGGTTTGGTTCTACCAGAAGGCCAAGGAGGAATCTGAGGAAGAAGTCCAGGTGGCCGTTCTGCTCCTCCAATACTTTGTCAACTGTCATCTTCATAAGATCGTATAAGGTATGTTCTTGGTCCTTCAGGTCGAGGAAGTTGCCCAGCTCTTTTGTATTCTTGCTTATGAAACATTCATAAACAAAAAGGGCTGCAAAGAACTCCTGAATGGTCAGGTGCACAAAGAAGAAGACCTTTTTCTGGGAAATGACATATTCTTCCCTGAGAACTGTGGAGCAAAATCCAGAGTAGATGGTCGCCTCTTGTAGGTCAATGCCACAGTCTTTAAGGTCTTCGTCATAGAAGATGATGTTGTTATTCTGCAGCTGAACAAATGCAAGTTTGCCGAGTTTCAGAAGAAATTCCTTGTGTTTCTTCAGAAGTTTCTCTTTGTTTCTCTCTGGGCTCTTGTCGTACTTTCTGCTTCTGCGTTTTGTTTGGGCAAGCAGGTAGTGCGCCATCATCTCTGTCAGGGTTTGCGGAGTTTCTGCTTTCTCGTCTCCCGCAAAGATCTCCTTGAATAATATGCCAGAAATCCAGCAGAAGATGGGGATCTGGCACATGATGTCGAGAGTCTGCGAAGAGCGTATGTGCGAAACTATCTTTTCAGGAAGGTCGACGTCATCTTTAAATCTCCTCCTGAAGTATTCTTCTTTCTGCGAGTCATTGAAGCCTCTTATCTCCGTCACCATACTGACATACTTTGCAGGGACCTGATTGGCTGCTGCTGGACGGGATGTTATCCAGAGGCTCGCATTGGGAAGGAGGTTTCCCTGAATGAGGCTTGCTAGGAGATTACCAACAGATGTTTCTTCAGTGACCAATTTAACCGGCTTGTTCTCAAAGTCCAGTTTAATTCTGCTTTCATCCAGGCCATCCAGGATCACTAAAACCTTGGCTTTGTCTAAAACCTCTTTCAAATGTCGAAGTGCGGGGTGAATATCAATCAGAAGCTTGAGCAAGCTTTTGTTACCTCTTATCAAATTCAGCTCTCGGAAAGCAAGACTGAAAACAAACTCAAAGTCCTGGTTTGCTTCTCCCTCGGCCCAGTCAAGAATGAACTTCTGGACAGAGAACGATTTTCCAATCCCTGCGACGCCCTTCGTCACGACTGTTCTGCGGGTCGTGTCTTGGGGAAGAACATGTCTAAACATGTCCTTGAGATGGACTGTATTTGTAGAAGACGGTTGTCTTTGTTGTCTGAACGAATGTTCTTCATGTGGCCCTTCACTCTCTCCGGTGCTGATGATGAGCTCAGTGTAGATGCTGTCCAGGGAGCTCTCTTGGTCGCCGTTACCTTCAGATGTCTTCGCAAATTTCCTCAGCATTTCATTTCTATGATTAGTCTGTATTTTTAAAAGATGGCTGCTCCCTGTAACAGTAAGATAAATGTGCAATTCCAGTACTGATGTTGACATTAATCTAAGTAGGGCTGCACGATTACGGAACTTCAATACGACAATTGTTTTGATCAATATTGAGATATTTATCATGATCATTCATTGATTTTAATGACAGAATATTTTATTGCACTTTCACATTTATATACACAGAGCACTGTTTTCAGTTTCACATTGCGCTAGGATCTTGATTTTTTTCATACATTTAAGTTGTTCGTTTAACTTGATATGAAGCGGCGTTGTCTATGAGTAAACCAAAGTATTATATTCAGAATCAGAATACCTTTATTAGTCCCACAGGCAGGGGATTGTGTTAACTCGTGGGAAGCCAAAATCCTATTTGTGATTAGTTGCGAAACCCTTAATAGTATTATTTCATACATAAGTATTAAAACTTACCAGGGTCATCCTTAGCTTCTCTCTGTGGTTCAAGATCTTTTTTAGGTTTCTTTCTAACTGGCTCCTCGGTTATCTCGCTGTAGGGTGAAAGTTTGGATCAGATAGTATCAGATAGTATCAGATATTCAATTCAATTCAATCTTTATTTCAGACTCAAGGTCCATATCACATACAAAATGACAAGATACACATCAATAAATAAGATTAAAAAGCTAAACAAAAAACAAAACGATAAAAAACATAAAATCAGTCCAATGACAGCTAGCCACATATGCTCACTGTCTATGGAGGCTATTGCACCAATGTCTCCAAATCATGGAGGAGAACCGAGTAGAACTCTTCACAGGGTTAATTAAAATTGAGATAACATGATTGTCAGATTCTTCTAGGCGACACATGAATTTGTACATTACATTTCTTAAAAGGGCTTGACAGGTAGGTACCCCCAAGTTAACAAACAGCTGGCTGCCATCTTGGTACCCTCACCAGCTACCGTAAAGCATCATTGTATGCAACTTTTAGTTTTTGCATGCTTCTAGCCTTGTAGTTACTCCACAGGTGAGCCGTGTACAATGGTGTACAGAAAGCTTTAAAAAGTGATACCTTGACATCTACAGAGCGCTTGTGAAATTTCCGCATTAATATGTTTGCCTGGGCATACAGTTTGCAGCGTTGTCTATGGATGTCTTTGTCATCTGTGAGATCATCAGAGATATAATGACCAAGGTACTTAATCTCACTGCACACAAGAAGAATGTTGCTACTGAAAATACAATTAGGAAATACAGCCTTTTTATCCTCTTTACTTCGCACAATCATGATGCTACTCTACTTGGCGTTATAATTAATATTAAAATCAATGCCATACTGGGAACAAATCCTCAGAAGCTGTTGTAAGCCTGCTAGATGCAGATAGTTTCATATATGGCGAGGATGTGTTCAGAATCAAAACAAAAGCATATTTTAAATGCAGCACTAGTGCAGTGACCAATTAAACAAAATAAGTCATGGTGTGATCAGATGAAGAGTCAAACTGAACAAAAATAACATACAGAGGCTAGCCGACTGCAAGTCACCTGTCAACCGAATGTTAGTCAACTGTCAGCCATTTTAATTGATATTGCACAATATTTGAATTACCTTTTTTTCACATTAAAGTATATCGGCTCGCCGATGGATTGATGACTCCGAGCGACACTTGGAGCTGCTGACTCGCTGGACGGTGAACAAAAAAAAAAGAGAAAATCTTTAACTTGTTATACACATTGCTGAATGTAAATGTATTTATGAATATTCAACTAAATGTAGGATTACCGTTTGAGCCCTTTACTAAAGTCTATTATCTCTTTGGATCGATCACTGGCTGAGATACTTGGAGCTGTGGACTCATCTTCATTCATCTGTGAACTGATGAGAGAAGAAATACTCAAAATAGTCTAAAAATAAGTAACTAAAGGCCCTCTGCGTCTGAACGTCTCCCTGAACTAGGAATCTTTTTAGGAACTCATTGCGTTTCAGACAAAGGGACAAAAAGGTATTTCACTGTACAATATTTTACCCTGTGACAGTCATGGGGTAAAACTTTCCAGATGTTAGGTCACTTTGGGGTTGGGTTTGCCGTGCAAACATTTTTTGTATTTGGTGAATACTCACAATGCGCACTTTATGAAGTTGCAATAATGTTTTCAGACGAGAAAGAAAGCATTAAGATTCCCAATATGTGGGCAATTTATCAAAAATAATCTCTTTTAGGAAATGTCTTTAGACTTTCAGAAAGTTGCTTGCAAGGTACTATAAAACTGTATCTGCGATGGTAGTTGCACGCAGAAAATACATAAAACTGCCCTCGCATTGGCAGAACATTTAGCTCAATCTTAATGGGTCTTAAGACTGTGACACAAATAATCTTATAGTTCATTTAATAATAAAGTCCCTTAAAGCTGAAACCACGTTTAAGAGTCTACAGCCATGTTACTGTATGATGTTATAAAGTATTGTGATTATACTAGGGCTGTCAGTCGATTAAAATATTTAATCGCGATTAATCGCAAATTAATCGCACATTTTTTATCTGTTCTAAATGTACCTTAGAGGGATATCTTTCAAGTTTTTAATACTCTTATCAACATATGAGTGGACAAATATGCTTTATATGTTTGTTTATTATCATTTGAACAATGACAAATATTCTCATGAATATTAAACACAACAACCTCTGAACATTACAAATATTCGCCTCAATTCAACTTGGAACCTCTCTCATACAATAATACTGTGCGTGTGTGTGTGTGTGTGTGTGTGTGTGTGTGTGTGTGTGTGTGTGTGTGTGTGTGTGTGTGTGTGTGTGTGTGTGTGTGTGTGTGTGTGTGTGTGTGTGTGTGTGTGTGGAGACACTGTGATGGATCGTTGAGCTATGTGCAGCTCAAGGCATATATGCTCCAACGGGAGCTGCCTGGACGCTGCAATAATGTTGCGCTGACTTTTCGTACAATGTCCCACTGTCTGGCTACCTGCATAAAGTCAAGTGCTCGGCGCAGTTGTCGGCGAAATGTCATTGAAACAGCTCCTTATATCCGTTAGCGCAGCTAGCTAGCACCAGATGCTAACAACAACACGTAGGTGTGCCTCGCTCGCGCGAGTCGCGCCACACATACACACTCCCTCCCGGTCCTCCCGATGGCCAGTCCGGGCCTGCCGGTGAGCGTGGAAGTGTGGTCTGCCACAAGCGGGCGGCCGGAGCGGGGCTGTCAGCATCAGCTTGTCGATGGTATTTTACACTCGATGCGCTCTGAAACTACGGGGCGGCCGAGGACAAAAAATACACATGCGTTAATCGCGTTAAAATAATTAGTGGCGTTAATTTTTTTTTGCGTTAACGCGTTATTAACGCGTTAACTTGACAGCCCTAGATTATACATAAACAAAAATGTGGAGGAGGTGATTAAAATACATAGGCCTGCTGTGTTATCTGTGATAGGGTAGCACATTACCTTTGCTCACTGCTGATTGGCTCAGAGATGGACCTCCTTCTTGTTTTTCTTTTCTCAGCCATTTCTGCAGCTGAAAACAAATACAGGAAGCCAAAAAATAACTTAAAGTGGACCTATCATGCAAAATGCACTTTTGTACATCTTTTATACATGAATATGCGTCCCCGGTGTTCCAGGGAACTCACCAAGTGTCAGAAAACACAACCCTCTCTATTTTTCTCCATACCCAAATCTTTTAAAAACGGGGCTACAACGAGCGGATACAGATTCCATCCGACCCGACGGTTCACACGAGACCGCTCGAAAGCGCTGGAGACGCTGTAGTACATATGCCAGGCCTGTAAGTGGCGCTGTAGTCTGCCACAAAAGCAGCGAAGAAGACTTCCCGCCCATAGTTACCATGGTTACCCTTCTGTTTATTCTCCGCTGTGGCTTTTTTTTCTCCCTCCCCGAGGCAAGTGTTTGCTCCTGCTGTAATTCTCTCCGGTTAGTCCACCAGCAGATGACAAACACCCACCTCTCCGCCTCTTCCAAGGAACGAGGGGATCGTGCGGCAGAGTTTCAGTTAGATTTTTTTCCGCCGGTCAACATGTCCGTTAAAGTTTAAATCTTCCGGACAAAATTTGAAAAGTGCCGGTCAAAGGTCTTCTTTGTTATTTATTTAAAACAAATGAATAACGACTCTATATAATCATATAAGAATAATACACGGAGGACGGAGATCTCTTTTTCTCCCCCTCTTCTGAGAGCCCAGCAGCTGATCAGAGCATGCTCCCCTCTCCTGCAGGGGGGCGTGGTCAGCTGCAACTCATTTGCATTAAAGCTACTTCACAGAATCAGCCCTTGCAAAAACAGGGCTGGAAAGAGCAAATAGGGCGAAATGAGGCATGGCTAAAATGCAGGATCTGTTTGGTATTTTGAAAAAAAAACTTCACAGACATGTTTTATATAGGTATGGCCCTACAATATATTTTTCAAATATAGCATGATGGGTCCACTTTAAATAACGGTCAAATCTCAGGATAATATCACGTTTTTCCTCCTGTTTACGTTAATTATGGCTAATTTACGGTGCGTTGCAACAACAGACATTGATCATCAAGGACGGTGTGCAACAGTCAGATTTCTACGTGACATTAACGTGGCTTTTCTACAAAACAACTTAAAGTAAATGCATTAAAGCCACATAAGAGCGAGATATTACAATGCAGGTGCTTACACAAATGTGGGTTAGATGTACTTTTTTATTACAGCAATTGTTTCAAAAAGTATATTTTAACATGCAAAAAGTCCCAACTATAGTATATTGATTTAACATTTGAATATAGGAAACCATTACATCATATTATAAAACGGACAAGTCAAATCAAGCAATCTGATTGGTTCTTAGCTGTGATATACTGAGCGTATACCACGGGTAGAATTGTAAGTTACTTTTCACAACAAGTCAGTATCCCTACGCGTCTGAGAAAAACAGTATACAGTTGGGCTGAAAAGCAAACTGCCTGCAGTTTGCTTTTCAAACTGGAACAAGAAAGCAGCGGAGAAGTAACGGGGCAGAAACCCTCCTTTTTACGCAGCGGTCCAGACATAGACATCAAACGGCAAAAACATATTCAGTGTGCAGTTCCTTTGGCATTAGGGCAGGGATATCTAGATACTTTCCAAGGTTTGACATAATGAATTGTGCTACTTTTAAAGCAAGCAACGATGTTTTCAAATCTGTAATCAAAAAGGTCCGCAAAAACATTTAAGATTAACTTCGACCTCGGGGGGGGGGGGGGGGTCTTACTATGGAGGAGTGGATTGAGGAGTGCCTATCTCCAGAACAAAAAGCACCTAAACGACGACATGTAGAGCTACGTGAAGAGCAGGTAGACCAACTGGAAAAGTATCACCATTCAAAAGCTTTCTGATGCGGGTCTTGAAACAAAGCAGAGAAATTATGACCGTTAGTGGCCACAGGTGCGAAAGCTCTCTCCAGAGCTACTGGAAGCCGAATCTCGGGGACCGGAGAAAGTGGAGCAATATTCTCGCCACGCAAAGCAACAGCCTAGAACAACCTCAACCTATACAAGTAACCACGTAAGCCATGCTACTGATGCTGGACAGGTTTTCAGTGGGTGCACAATAAACGGCAACATACACATTAATGTAAATAAATAGCCAAATAATGGATCAACGCTCTCTGTCTAATATGTTCGCTAGCTGTTGTTAGTGTTGTTGCATAGCAACCACCTCGCACTATGTTTCGTGCAGAAGGCAACAGAGGGACTATTTTATTTTGAACATCATTATTTACTAATAAAAACTATTTAAATTAGAGTGTATTTTTCTTTCATATTGCCACACTTGGTAACCGTTTTATAAAAGCAATAGCTCACTTCAGGCCGTGATATATGCTCATTATATCACAGCTAAGGGGGTTGTTGACCCTCCGCTTCGCGTCGGGCCGAACCACGCCCCTTAGCTGTGATATAATGAGCATATACCACGGCCTGTCGTGAGCTATTGCTTAAATATACCACATGATAATACTAAAATATAATGCAAATTTGACATTGCAACTTTCAAAATTAGCCTATCGTGTTTTTTTAATATACTTTTATAATTTCCTGTAAAACTACATATTTTAATATAATCAAAATAACATGTAAATATTGGCTATAATACTTGTATTATATGGAAAATGCTTTTTAAATAACATTGTTTATGTAGTCTGGACAAACTTCACAGTAGTTTACCCCGTCTTTGATATAAACATATGTTAAACCTCGAGATCAAAAGAGGAATTATGTGCAAAATCCTTTATTAGTCCCACAGGCAGGGGATTGTGTTAACTCGTTGGAAGCCAAAATCCTATTTGTGATTAGTTGCGAAACCCTTAATAGTATTATTTCATACATAAGTATTAAAACTTACCAGGGTCTGGTTCAAGATCTTTTTTACGTTTCTTTCCACCTGGCTCCTCGGTTATCTCGCTGTAGGGTGAAAGTGTAGTATCAGATAGTATCAGATAGTATCAGATACGGCGAGGATGTGTTCAGAATCAAAACAAAAGCATAATTTGAATGCAGCTCTATTGCAGTGACCAATTAAACAAAATAAGACATGGTGTGATCAGATGAAGAGTCAAACTGAACAAAAATAACATACAGAGGCTAGCCGACTGTAAGGCCCTCTGCGTCTGAATCTTTTAAGGAACTCATTGCGTTTCAGACAAAGGGACAAGGTTCAAAATTAATTTCACGGTACAATATTTTACCCTGTGACAGTCATGGGGTAAAACTTTCCAGATGTTAGGTCACTTTGGGGTTGGGTTTGCCGTGCAGACATTTTTTGTATTGGTTGAATACTCACAATGCGCACTTTACTAAGTTGTAATAATGTTTTCAGACGAGAAAGAAAGCATTAAGATTCCCATATGTGGACAATTTATCCAAATAATCCCTTTTAGGAAATGTCTTTAGACTTTCAGAAAGTTGCTTGCAAGGTACTAAAAATCTGTATCTGCGATGGTAGTTGCACGCAGAAAATACATAAAACTGCCCTCGCATTGGCAGAACATTTAGCTCAGTCTTAATGGGTCTTAAGACTGTGACACAAATAATCTTATAGTTCATTTAATAATTAAGTCCCTTAAATTGAAACCACGTTTAAGAGTCTACAGCCATGTTACCCCTAGATTCCACCGGGTCCGTCTGCGGCGCGTTACGGGCGCGTTACGGCTGCGCCGCGGTGCTCACGGCGATCGCGGCCACTCTAGTCAATGGGTGCTATTCCACCACACGCGGCGCGTTACGGCTCAGACGCGTCCCAGAAGCGGCTCGGCGCAGGGCTCCTCTAAAATTAGGATCGAATCCTATTTTTGTCGCGGCGCAGCCGTAACGTAAGGTCGGGCAGGCAGGAAGTGGAACCTTCAGAGCATATATAGCATATATATATAGTAGGGCTGTCAAGTTAACGCGTTAATAACGCGTTAATAACGCGTTAATAACGCGTTAATAACGCGTTAACGCGTTAACGCAAAAAACAATTAACGCCACTAATTATTTTAACGCGATTAACGCATGTGTATTTTTTGTCCTCGGCCGCCCCGTAGTTTCAGAGCGCATCGAGTTTAAAATACCATCTACAAGCTGATGCTGACAGCCCCCCTCCTGCCGCCCGCTTGTGGCAGACCACACTTCCACGCTCACCGGCAGGCCCGGACTGGCCATCGGGAGGACCGGGAGGATGTGTGTATGTGTGTATGTGTGTGTATGTGTGGCGCGACTCGCGCGAGCGAGGCACACCTTACGTGTTGTTGTTAGCATCTGGTGCTAGCTCGCTGCGCTAACGGATATAAGGAGCTGTTTCAATGACATTTCGCCGACAACTGCGCCGAGCACTTGACTTTATGCAGGTAGCCAGACAGTGGGACATTGTACGAAAAGTCAGCACACTCAGCACGGATAGTGCGCGCAACATGATTGCAGCGTCCAGGCAGCTCTCCACATTTTCACACACACACACACACACACACACACACACACACACACACACACACAATTATTGTATGAGAGGTTCCAGGTTGAATCGAATATTTGTAATGTTCAGAGGTTGTTGTGTTTAATATTCATGAGAATATTTGTCATTGTTCAAATGATAATAAACAAACATATAAAGCATATTTGTCCACTCATATGTTGATAAGAGTATTAAAAACTTGAAAAATATCCCTCTAAGGTACATTTAGAACAGATAAAAAATGTGCGATTAATTTGCGATTAATCGCGATTAACTATGGACAATCATGCGATTAATCGCGATTAAATATTTTAATCGACTGACAGCCCTAATATATAGATATATATACACACACACAAACTAATTTTGCAGACCCTATCCCTCCGTAGTCTTTCAAGTAGGAGGAGAAATGCCAGCGTTCTCCTCCGGTTTACAGGCACTGTGTCAATTATATATATATATAGAATAGTTATGATGATGAATGCATTTTTTTACCACTAAAATACAGCAACACATCTTTGATTCATGTCGTTTATAACTGGAATATTACAGTTATTATTAACTTTGTCTGTACAAAGTAGCCTGTCCAGGAAATATGCCCAAATCAACAAAAACTGCGAGCCGGTGTCAGTACCATATGTGTTCGCCCTACCATATGTGTTCGGGGTCCGTCGCTTACCAATGACGTCACCCATTGTGATTGGCTGTACGGAATCGTAGTAATCAGCAGCGAACCGCTTCAACACGTGTATTTCAGTGTATTCACGGCATTCATTTTGTTATTCTACAGTATTATTGTTTTATAGTTATTTGTTAATGTAACCCAATTTGTGTTCTTTGAAATTGAAAAGGATATCGCATTGTGTTTGTTACATTCGTTGCAGTTGTATAGGCTATGTGTTAAGTGTAATTTGGCATGTCCTATTTATGGACATGCTTTTATTTTGAAGGAGAGTTAGCGCAGTTGACAGGAAGTTGTTGTTGCTTTGGAAACAACGTGACAGAGATTAACGGAGAAAAGTAATATCTACATATAAAGACGGAGAAAGTAAACGATAACGTTTATGGTTAAGTGTTAGCACCCCCCGAAGAGGCACAAGCTCTTACGTTGATATTGGAGATTTCAATAAATTCAATTTGAAAAAAAAACGGGGAAAAAAAACAAAAACGAATATCTGAATAACGAAATTGAAACCCGAATAGTACTCCAACGAACGAATATTCGGATATTTTGGTACAGTAGGGCTGTACCCGAATAATATAATAAAGTTATAGTAAATAATAACAAATTCCAGTGTTAGAATTCCATAATTCCATATTCATAAATAAAATGATATGCAAATAACATTTTCTTGGCTGTGGACTTGTACTCTACATAATTATGTTGAGCTCATGGTAATCTAATTCAATAAACAATAACTGCAATGAACAGATAGCATTTTCTGACTCGTAAAATGATTGGATATGGTGTAATTTGGCAAATGATTCTGTGTTGAAAAATGTATATCTTTAAAAACTGCGTTGGTGTATTAGGGCGGGCCATACTAATTTTTCTTGTAAATCGATCGAGAGGGGTGTTCAAATAACGTATTTTGGTGTGTAGAACACAAATCTATTTAGATGCTTTTATTTTGAAGTTGTTGCTATGGAAACAACATGACGGAGAAAAAAGTAATATCTTCTACATATAATAACGGACAAAGTAAAGAATGAAGTGTATGTTTAAATGTTAGCACCCCCCGAAGAGGCTCAAGCTCTTACGTTGAGTCTGGAGTTTCAATACATTCGGAATTTGACCGTGTAAAATGTCCTCTTGGGTTACCGTACAGCCAATGCGTGACGTCATTGGTAAGCGTAACGGACCCCGAACACATCTGGTAGGCCGAACACATATTAGTGATGGGAATTATGGCTCTTTGAAGGGAGCCGGATCTTATGGCTCCGTTCCTTTCAAAGAGCCGTTCAAAAGAGCCGTTCAAAAGAGCCGTTTTTTTAAAAAGGGGGCGGGGTTACTAGGTTTATCTGCGAAATAATCACCAGGATAATGATTGACTGCATTGCCAGACCTAATGTCAATAATCTGCATTGTAAACATGACACAAGGTGGCGCCATATCCATGTCATTCATGTCAGTGAATGTACTTTGAATTTACCCTCTGCATGTGTTAAGTCAATAAAGTTGCCTTGCCTTGAATAAAATTCACGCAACTCTTAATATTAGTAGTGTGTTTTTAAGTGGCGATGGAGATTATTTGTTGACCCTGCTTTAAAGGATATTTTGCCTTTACAAATGGTGCGCTTTATCACTGCCTGGGTTTTGGTTGAAGTGCATCCAAATGCTGCTGCGTTTTCGCGTTTGGCTCATTTTACATCCGAAAAACACGTCGTCTATCTGTCCAGTACCACTTGTTATGACTTCTCTCTCTCGCGTATTCCGTTAAGACCCACCCCACCTAACTCCTCGTGCTGAAACCTACAAATCAGAGTAGGGGCGGGTCTTCACAGAATACGTTTGGGGAACAAAATCAAGCTTTTTAAAAGGCGAGTGAATTTTGGCAGGCAGTGAGTGCGGACCAACTTTAATTGAACGATAAGAAGAACGGCTCTCACCAAGTACGACTCGGTTCCCCTCGTTCGTACCAAAGAGCCGTTCAAAAGAATCGGCTCGTTCGCGACCGACACATCACTAACACATATGGTACCTACAGCGGCAGGCAAGACGCTCCGCTTCTGAAATGCTTCTGAAACGCGCCTGGTAGGGTATGACGCCGGAGGAGGCCGGACCAAAACCGCAACGCGGCGCAGACGGACCCGGTGGAATCTAGGGGTTACTGTATGATGTTGTAAAGTATTGTGATTATACATAAACAAAAATGTGGAGGAGTTGAAGTGATTAAAATACATAGGCCTGCTGTGTTATCTGTGATAGGGTAGCACATTACCTTTGCTCACTGCTGATTGGCTCAGAGATTGACACCCTCCTTGTTTTTCTCTTCTCGGCCATTTCTGCAGCTGCAGCTGAAAAACAAATACAGGAAGCCAAAAAATAACTTAAATAACGGTCAAATCTCAGGATAATATCACGTTTTCCCTCCTGTTTACGTTAATTATGGCTAATTTACGGTGCATTGTCAACAACAAGCCTGCCCTTGATCATCAAGGACGGTCTGCAAGAATCTGATTTTTACGTGACATTAACGTGGCTTTTCTACAAAACTACTTAAAGTAAATGCATTAAAGCCACATAAGCGCGAGATATTACAATGCAGGTGCTTACACATGTCGGTTAGATGTACTTTTTTATTACAGCTATGGTTTCAAAAAGTATATTTTAACATGTAAAAAGTCCCAACTATAGTATATTGATTTAACATTTGAATATAGGAAACCATTACATCATAATATATCACTTGATAATACTAAAATATAATGCAAATTTGACATTACAACTTGCAAAATTAGCCAATCGTGTTTTTTTAATATACTTTTATTATTTCTTGTAAAACTACATATTTTAATATAATCAAAATAAAGTGTAAATATTGGCTATAATACTTGTATTATAGGGGAAATGCGTTTGAAATAACATTGTTTATGTAGTCTGGACTCTGGACTAAGTTCACAGTACAGTTTACCCCGCCTGTTTACTTCTTCTTTCTTTGTTTACGGAAATGACCGCAAACATACTGTATGTCAAACCTCAAGATAAAAAAGAGGAATTATGTACAAAATCCTCAAATAATAAAAACATCGAGTTTACTACGAGATACTTTGCAAATAACATTGTTTGTGGTCGAAAAGTCTGTTGAAACATGGGCGCGCCACCCTTATCTATGCAACCGTTTTTATCAACTGCGCACTTCGCCATTACACAAACAACATGTCGTCTTTACGCGCACACCAAAACCAAAACACGCACAAATGGCACACAGCGATCATGGCAACAAATACTTACAGGTGTCCAAAGTAGCCTGATATAAACCGAACCCCAACTGTGGTGTCCTTGTGGCGATTTTTCCCAAACGATGTCTCGGAAGGTTTCAGGTTACATGCAGACAGTTTGGAAATCCTCATCAGATATTAACGTTCGATTTCCTTCAAAATAAAACCCCACTGATGGGATACAGCAGGTTGGATGGTGTCAGTTATTTCTCTCACATTCAAAAATATTATTATAATGGATGTATTTCAGTTTAAAGCCCTCCACCCTGTGATCCTGCTGAACCTGAATGCATCTTTAGGGCAGAATAATCATAACGAGTAGTCAGAGGTGGAAGCGTATTAAACTAACATAGGGTCCTTGAATGCACCATGCACCATGTAAACAGTTTTACAAAGTCAAAAGTCAAGTCAACTTTAATGTCAATCTGTCTGTGTGTTTGTACAGACAGAGAGATCGAAATAACGTTTCCAACAATCCCGAATACAAAATACAATAATACAAATATACAAATATGTTAACATATATGTATATCCTATATATATATATACAACCAACAGACACATTTACACATATGCACACATTCAGATAAAAACACAACAATCAATATATACAAAATAACAGTCACTTCAATATCTTAGGGTATGTAGCCTACATAGTGCAATATTGTCCGTAGCAGAGTAAAAAGTGTCTGGTGCTGGAATTGAGTGTCTGAGTGTGTGGGGAGTTACAGTCCAGTGGTCTACATTGTAGATTAATACTGAAGACATCAAAACTATAAAAGAACACATATGGAATTATCTAGTAAACAAAAAAAGTGTTAAAAAATCCAGAATGTAATTTATATTTTGCTGCTGCTGCAGAATGCTGAGGCTACTTTGAAGAATCTCAAATATAAATCATATTCTGGATTTTGTAACACTTTCTTGTTTACTAGATAATTTCATATGTGTTCTTTGTTTGGATGTATTCAGTATTAATCTACAAAGTAGAAAACAAATGTAATAAACAAAAACCATTGAATAGAAGATGTGTCCAAACTTTTGACTGGTACTGTATATCACATCAACATAAATGTACCTTAATTCATAAACATCTACTTACAGGTTTGTCCAAAAGCCTTCAGGTCTGTTAGCAGATTTAGACTTATACCTTTTGTCTCTCTGCAGCAGAAAGGTGACTATTCTCTCACAGTTCAAGTTTAGCCATTCATCACGGCGTTATTTATTAGATGCACACAGGTCAAGAGACTTGAGGACTGAACAAGAAGGGGCTGACTCCAACTGTCATAGTGACAACACAATCATGTGCTACAGCGCTACCCAATGAACACAGTAGTAGTCGCAGCTACTTATACAAACAATATGGTACACAGTATTACATGGAGTCATACAATATACAATATACATGTCTCTGTATGTTATACCTCAACAAGGTCGTTCCTTGTTCCGTGTTCATTTAAGTACAGTATAGGAAATGTAACTTCCCACCCCTGCCTGTGATCCTGCTGAACTTGAATGCATCTTTTAGGCAAAAATAATAATAACAAAAATAAAATGTCTTCCTGTATTTGCTTTAGTCGGAGCTGGAGTTGAAGTCCTTGCATGTGTGATCAGACTTTGCAGATGCGTGACATGTTTCTTTAAGAAATGGTCAGACAATATTTACATTCAACTTCACCTTAAACCATCTGCTTACAGATTTGTCCCAAAGCCTTTGTGTTCTCCCTCTTTTCGTGCTACACAGATACATGTTTTGAATGTTTTAGGTTTCTTTTGTGCAGAAAGGCTGCGAAGAACAAGGAACTTCAACTTCCTTCTTCCTGTATTAGATCGTTTTTTTAATATGAGGACGGTCCGTTTCCTATTTGTTTGGCTCACAGAGTTCATGGTGCTATAGTTTATTTGAAAACGTTTTTTAATCACCTTTTAAACAAAGGTAATTATCCAGAGAAAAGGGCAAACGTCTGGTGAACCTGTAGAGGTTAAATGGTCTGTTGCTGCTGGAGGAAATGCTGATAACCAGTTTCATGTGATACTGATCACATGAAACTGGTTCTCTGCAAAGTGACTTCCTGCCTCTCTCCTACTGATAGAGAGGCAGGAAGTCACTTTGCAGAGAACCAGTTTCATGTGATTCCACCTTTTTTTGTAATTATAAATACACAAAAATGTGGAGGAGTTGAAGTAATTAAAATACATAGGCCTACTGTGTTATCTGTGATAGGGTAGTACATTACCTTTGCTCACTGCTGATCGGCTCAGAGATGGACCTCCTCCTTGTTTTTCTCTTCTCAGCCATTTCCGCAGCTGAAAAACAAATACAGGAAGCCAAAAAATAACTTAAATAACGGTCAAATCTCAGGATAATATCACGTGTTCCCTCCTGTTTACGTTAATTATGGCTAATTTACGGTGCGTTGCAACAACAGGCATTGATCATCAAGGACGGTCTGCAAGAGTCTGATTTCTACGTGACATTAACGTGGCTTTTCTACAAAACAACTTAAAGTAAATGCATTAAAGCCACATAAGCGCGAGATATTACAATGCAGGTGCTTACACATGTGGGTTAGATGTACTTTTTTATTACAGCTATGGTTTCAAAAAGTATATTTTAACATGTAAAAAGTCCCAACTATAGTATATTGATTTAACATTTGAATATAGGAAACCATTACATCATAATATATCACTTGATAATACTAAAATATAATGCAAATTTGACATTGCAACTTGCAAAATTAGCCAATCGTGTTTTTTTAATATACTTTTATTATTTCTTGTAAAACTACATATTTTAATATAATCAAAATAACGTGTAAATATTGGCTATAATACTTGTATTATAGGGGAAACTCCACTTTTATTTAAACGTCTTACCTTACCTTCCTATATTTGTTTAGCTATATATTTCTATCTGTGTCCTTTACACTTATCCCCTTTATTGTTCAGTTTGAATCGGAGCTGGAGTTTAAATCCTTGATCAAACAGAGCAGATGTTTCACAGGTGCTTTATGGGTCATTCCAGAATTGGAGGACAGTTTAGACATCAACACTTTTGAAAAATGAACCTTTTATTTTATTATTTGTCGTTATGTATTTAGGAAAAACAGATAATAAGCCATCAAAAAAATGATTTATTTGTTGTATGTGTTGTGTGCCCTGCTTTGTGCAACCCTGTTACAAATACTCATTAAGCAGAAAAAAGTATTTTCAAAAATATTCTTCAATACAATTCTTTACCATTAAGTAAAGAAAGTCACATTTACATTAAATACTCATGTAGTTTTGGATAAAACTGGTTTAATTGAATTATTTTAATAGAAAATGATAGTAACAGGGTTGCGTAAAGTAACAGGGTTAAATGGCTACATTACTTTTGATTGTAGATAATGACATAAATGCGACAAATAAATACTGAGGACAACAGAAATGTTGTCTGATAATATTTGATATATATTTTCCAATGAAGAATCAACCCTGTTATTATTATATAGTATACTTATAGTATCAGGGTTGCAAGTAACAGGGTTACAAATCAATGCTAATTTTAGCTTTTACCTCAGGAAATTAATGCCAGCTGCACAATGTAATGCTATTGTCAAGGAATGGACACACTTAGATATGTAACTAAAGAAAGATACATTTGAAATTAATTTGTTTTAGTCTCATAATGTGAGTAACAGGGTTGCGTTTGTATGAGTGCCACACTCCTTCAAGAGTGACAAGATTGGAAATATATTACAAATAAAAGAGAGGACTTAGTTGTGGTCTACCCATGGTAGTAGCACATGGCTTGCTGATGTCCTTTCCACTGTGTCATGCGACAAACAGTTTTTTCACTTCCTCTGCCAAGCTAAAAAGGTTTGGGTAACAGGGTTGCGAGCATGTTGAGGGACACACCCTCTGTGCAACATTACTGTTATTTAAAATATGTTTATGATTTAACACATTTATTTTACCATTACAACAGAAATATATCAATAGAATAATACCAAAAAAAGTAAATACAAATAAAACCCTATTTTAAAGTGGACCTATCATGCTATATTTAAATGATATATTGTAGGGCCATACCTATATAAGGTATATTTATACGTTTCTGTTTTCAAAATACCAAACAGATCATGCATTTTAGCCATGCCTCATTTCGCTCTATGTGCTGTTTGCTGTCTACGGGTCTGATTCTGCTGACCACGCCCCCCTGCAGGAGAGGGGAGACGTGCTCTGATCAGCTGCTGGGCTGTCAGAAGAGGGGGAGAAAAAGAGATCTCCGTGTTTTATTATATAGAGTCGTTATTCATTTGTTTTAAAGCTCAATAAATAACAAAGAAGACCTTTGACCGGCACTTTTCTAATTTTGTCCGGAAGATTTAAACTTTAACGGACATCTTGACCGGCGAAAGTAACTGAAACTGAAACTCTGCCGCACGGTCCCCTCGTTCCTTAGAAGAGGCGGAGAGGTGGGTGTTTGTCATCTGCTGGTGGACTAACCGGAGAGAATTACAGTGCTTGCCTCGACGGGGAGGGATTGCATTGAATTAAAGCAGCGGGAGCAAACGCTTGCCTCGGGGAGGGAGAAAAAAAGCCACAGCGGAGAATAAACAGAATGGTAACCATGGTAACTATGGGCGGGAAGTCTTCTTCGCTGCTTTTGTGGCAGACTACAGCGCCACTTACAGGCCTGGCATATGTACTACAGCGTCTCCAGCGCTTTCGAGCGGCAATGGCCGGCCGTGGCCCAACCCCACATTCCCCTGATAGGTGGAGAGTTGGCCCAATAGCCGTAGCGCCACTTCTGTGACGACATAGAAGTGTTCAAATCTGGATCAGTCTGTATCAGATCCGTTGCAGCCCCTTTTTTAGGGATTTGGGTATGGAGGAAAATAGAGAGGGTTGTGTTTTCTGACACTTGGTGAGTTCCCTGGAACACCGGGGACACATATTCATGTAGAAAAGACGTACAAAAGTGCATTTTGCATGATAGGTCCCCTTTAAATGTTATGTTTGACATGCAAGTTGGTCACCAAGAAGCGGGGACAAGAGAAAAATGCCATTTTAGGGGGTGTTCGAGAGCTATTTGATATTTTAAATAATATTTCAAAACCACTTTTTCTACAACATTATATACATTTTGTCTCAAGACAAGTATGTTTAACACAACAAGTGCATCTTTTAGCTTTTTGGGGATGGACTATTAGACTTTTTATATGGGGGACATGAAATGTCCTCCAATTCTGGAATGACCCTTATCCTGTTAAACACACAGAAACTAAGCAATGGACAGTACCAGTCAAAAGTTTGGGCACACCTTCTCATTCGAATATTTGTATTTATTTAAAAAATGTTCTACATTGTAGATTAATACTGAAGACATCAACACTATAAAAGAACACATATGGAATTATCTAGTAAACTAAAAAGTGTTAAAAAATCCAGAATATGATTTATATTGTGCTGCTGCTGCAGAATGCTGAGGCTACTTTGAAGAATCTCAAATATAAATCATATTCTGGATTTTGTAACACTTTCTTGTTTACTAGATCATTCCATATGTGTTCTTTGTTTGGATGTATTCAGTATTAATCTCCAAAGTAGAACAACATTTTAATAAACAAAAACCATTGAATGAGAAGGTGTATCCAAACTTTTGACTGGTACTGTATATAACATCAACATGTATACAAATGAAATGTACCTTAAATCAGAAACATGTACTTACAGGTTTGTCCAAAAGCCTTCAGGTCGTTCCTTGTTCCGTGTTCATTGAATAAGTGTCTCTGTTCAGATGGGCGGGCCATTAGAAAGAAGGAAGTCTAAAGAAACATTCTTCCTGTTTTTATTAGTTTGATTTAGTTTGACTTCATGGGGATCATGAGTGCTGTAGCTCACTTAGAAAACATGCTTTACCGTTTTAAGCAAACAGAGAATTGCTTAAGAAAAACCAGCACAGAGGATCTTCTCTAAAAGGTGTACAGCTCCACCTGAGCAGACGTCTGGTGAACCTGTAGAGTTTGAATGGTCTGTTGCTGCTCCCTGCTGGAGGAAATGCTGATAACAAGTGTAATGTGATCAGTAGGAGAGAGGCAGGAAGTCACTTTGCAGCAGAGGTGTGAAGTGACTATGTACATTTACTCAAGTACTTAGACTTTAGTTCCACCTGGAGTAAATCCACAAGCTACCCTGCAGTATACAAAGTCATTCAAACTAGCTGCACCTTTACCAGCTTTGAGAACACTTTCATGATCAATCATTATAAAACATATCATATATATTATTCTGAAATGGACCAATCTGCACAATGACTACTTTTACTGTCGCTACTTTAACTATATTTTGATGAGAATACTTTTCTACTTTTACTTGAGGAACATTTTGAATGCAGGACTTTTACTGTAACAGAGTATTCCTACACTCTGGTACTTCTACTTTTACTCAAGTACAAGATCTGAGTACTTCTACTTTTACTCAAGTACAAGATCTCAGTACTTCTACTTTTACTCAATTACAAGATCTGAGTACTTCTACTTTTACTCAAGTAGAAGATCTGAGTACTTCTACTTTTACTCAAGTAGAAGATCTGAGTACTTCTACTTTTACTCAAGTACAAGATCTGAGTACTTCTACTTTTACTCAAGTACAAGATCTCAGTACTTCTACTTTTACTCAAGTACAAGATCTGAGTACTTCTACTTTTACTCAAGTACAAGATCTGAGTACTTCTTTTACTTTAGGAACATTTTGAATGCAGGACTTTTACTTGAGAATAAAGTAGATTAAAATGAAGATAATAAAGTAAATCACCTCACTTATTACTATTCAAGAACAATAGGCTACTTGAATAAATGTAGGTCTATACTTTCCCCCACTCTGTATAATTCAGTAAACCTGTTCATTGTTTACACCGGAAATCCCCATAACACTTTCTAAATATGTAACCCCCCCCCCCCTCACGAGAGGTTTATTAACTGCGCACTTCGCCATTACCCAAACACCGTGTCGTCTCCGCGCTCACACCAACACTTTACACATCATAAACTACATTAAACACACACTCTTGCATATATATTCAATCCTTAGTCTTGCAATTATAATTTTTTTTAAGTATTTGCACTTTAAAAATCCCCACGATCTTTACTTTCGGTTTTAAAGCACCATTGTAAATACGTTCCCTTACCACTGCGCATGCGTGTTCTCCATGTGTTTCCTAATCACAGGGAATTCCCAAAGCACGACTCCAGACCCTCCAGACGCAGTTTAAAAAGAAATGAGTTCCTGATCATTTCTCTGTCTTTTTGTCCGTCATGGTTCACTTGGTGCCTGGGTCTACAATGCCTCTCCTGGCTCTGGCTGTATTTCTGGTCCCCTGGACGGATTGGTCTGAAGGTAAATTATGTTTTATTCATTCATTCTACTGTAGCTGTTTCCTCTTTAGCATGATAGACGTTTCTGAAAAAACTCCTTAAAAGGTGATTGAACAAAGTTACATCAGAGAGACGGTCCACTGTGCAACAGAAAATAAATTAACATTATTTATTTCTTTGTAATTAGTTATCAAAGCTGAAGATTAGCATCCTAATTAAGGTCAAACTGTGTCAACATGTTAAGCTTACTTTGGCTGAGTTAAACAAGTACAAATCTACTTTGACTCAAGTTGAAACCATGTTTAAGAGTCTACAGCCATGTTACTGTATGATGTTATAAAGTATTGTGATTATACATAAACAAACATGTGGAGGAGTTGAAGTGATTAAAATACATAGCCCTGCTGTGTTATAGACAGGGGTGCACATAACTGGTACGCAGGTACGCATGCGCGGCAACAATCTGAAATGCGTACGGTCACTTGTGTCACAAAGCGCATTTGCGTACCGACGTAAATGTGAAGCTTTTCCAGAAGGCGGTTAGTTCACCGGACGACAGAGTCGGTCTCTGTGTGCACAGACAGGGCTGCTGTTAACGTCGGTCTGTTCAGCAGCCCTGCGCTAAAACAGCTGATCACAACGTTCACACGCTCCGCGGTCACGAAGCTCTGTACAGTGTACTCCACTACCACCACCCCCCCCCCGTTGACAATCGGGAAGCGCTGTACTCCACTACCACCCACCCCTCACCTTTTAAACAAGTACAAGACCTGAGTATTATTATAAGCAATGGCAAGTGTGTGTGTGTGTGTGTGTGTGTGTGTGTGTGTGTGTGTGTGTGTGTGTGTGTGTGTGTGTGTGTGTGTGTGTGTGTGTGTGTGTGTGTGTGTGTGTGGTGTGTGTGTGTGTGTTGTGTGTGTGTGTGTGTGTGTGTGTGTGTGTGTGTGTGTGTGTGTGTGTGTGTGTGTGTGTGTGTGTGTGTGTGTGTGTGTGTGCGCGTCATTAAAGGAAACCTATCATGCTATATTGAAATGATATATTGTAGGGCCATACCTATATAAGGTATATTTATACGTTTCTGTTTTCAAAATACCAAACAGATCATGCATTTTAACCATGCCTCATTTCGCTCTATTTGCTGTCTATGGGTCTGATTCTGCTGACCACGCCCCCCTGCAGGAGAGGGGAGGCGTGCTCTGATCAGCTGCTGGGCTGTCAGAAGAGGGGGAGAAAAATAGATCTCCGTCCTCCGTGTTTTATTATAGCCTATATAGAGTCGTTATTCATTTGTTTTAAAGCTCAATAAATAACAAAGAAGACCTTTGACCGGCACTTTTCTAATTTTGTCCGGAAGATTTAAACTTTAACGGACATCTTGACCGGCGAAAGAAACTGAAACTGAAACTCTGCCGCACGGTCCCCTCGTTCCTTGGAAGAGGCGGAGAGGTGGGTGTTTGTCATCTGCTGGTGGACTAACCGGAGAGAATTACAGTGCTTGCCTCGATGCGGAGGGATTGCATTGAATTAAAGCAGCGGCAGCAAACGCTTGCCTCGGGGAGGGAGAAAGAAAGCCACAGCGGAGAATAAACAGAAGGGTAACCATGGTAACCATGCGCGGGAAGTCTTCTTCGCTGCTTTTGTGGCAGACTACAGCGCCACTTACAGGCCTGGCATATGTACTACAGCGTCTCCAGCGCTTTCGAGCGGCAATGGCCGGCCGTGGCCCAACCCCACATTCCCCTGATAGGTGGAGAGTTGGCCCAATAGCCGTAGCGCTGACGTCGGGACAGTGTTCAAATCTGGATCAGTTTTTATCAGATCCGTTGCAGCCCCTTTTTTAGAGATTTGGGTATGGAGGAAAATAGAGAGGGTTGTGTTTTCTGACACTTGGTGAGTTCCCTGGAACACCGGGGACACATATTCATGTAGAAAAGACGTACAAAAGTGCATTTTGCATGATAGGTCCCCTTTAAAGTTAACGTCTCCCTATATTTTCACAGGTCGGCCTCAGTTGATTGGTTCCTCTCAGCCAATCAGGGCTCCTCTGGGTAGTGATGTCCTCCTGCCGTGTATTTTGCAGCCTGAGCGCAATATTGAGGGGATCTTGGTGAGGTGGTGGCGGCCCAACGTCCCACCGGACCCCCAAGACCCAAAGAGCGACTACTGGTACATTCACCTGTACCCTGAAAACCAGCATCAGGAGGACCTGACGATGCCGTCGTACGTTGGGAGGACGGAGATGTTCGCAGACGGCCTGAAACTCGGGAACGTTTCCCTCCGGATCAGAAACCTGCAGCTCTCTGATGACGGGAGATACCGATGTTTCATCCCAATGCTGTGGATTGATACCGACATAATGCTGGAAGTCTTTGGTACGTTTTTTTATGTAAATATATAATATCTATTACGTCATAATTCGTTATTTTGGTCGATTAAACGATGCAAACTTGTCCACATTCTTCAAGCCCTTCCACACACCGTGTAGCAACTGTGTTATCCAGCATGGTTTGTACACATGTTTAATGATGATTCATTATAAAGAACAACAAGGCTAAAGATCACTACAACTGTTGTGTTTTCAGATCCAATCTCTGATGACACTTTGACGACCACGCAGTTTCAGGGAAATCTCCAAACTCCAGATCCAAAAAATGAAACTGATGTCAAAGGTAAGAAGGAGAGAACAAAGTGAAGAGTTTCAGCATTTTTGAGTTTATTTAAGACGTCTGTTGTGTGGCAGTTACTGTAGACGCTGTCTCTTTGGTTTTAGTTGGTCGGCACTATTGGAGCTTGTGCTTCGTGGTTCTGGCTTTCTGCATCTTACTGGCTGTTGGGCGTTTCCTGAAACACAAGTGTCAAAGACGAGATGTAAGTCAGAAGGAAACATGTGTGGTTGCTTCTTGAGTGTATTCTGACAGAACGTCTCTAGAGGGAGACAGTTTAATAATTATTATTCACATTTCTCTTTTCCCTCCAGCTGCCGTGCTGCTTGTCAGAAACCAACTCACCTCCTTCCTCCTCTGCTGAATATGTGGTGATAAGAGCATCAGATGTGGGATTCTGACCTGCAGCACGTCTGGAAACAAGTGGACCGACCGGGGAAACAACATCTTGACACGCAATGCATTACTGTAAGGACCTGTGTCGACTTTATCTGTTTCTACTTGTTCCAGATGAGGGCCGAGCGTATTGAGCCAATACCACGTGTTGAGCACAAAACAAAACAAGCACAAACAGATAGTGAAAACAAAGCGGCAATGCTCTAAGAGTAACCGTGTACTCTTGGACTCATTTAGTTTTCTTTGTACTGTTTCTGTTTCTGATTTGATGTAAAGCGTCTTTGGGCATTAGGAAAAGCACTATCAAAGTCCAATGTATTATTATTATTATTATTATTATTATTGTTGTTGTTATTGTTATTGTTATTGTTATTGTTATTATTATTATTATTATTATTATTGTACTTTTTCTTATCACAGTAAATGCAGCGTGTGTGTGCATTAAGGGCTTTAATACCCCACAGATTGATGACTAAAAACTAATTTACTGACGGTGATCTACCAGCACTAATGAAGTTAGTCTAGATATCACGAATGTTAAACGGGATCAAACTAGCCGTTACTTGAAATACTGGACAGTGTTCTGACGTTAGCTATGTAGCCAAGTTAGCTCAGTTACTCTCCTACACTGTAAATGTCAGCCCCCCCCCCCCACCAACTCTGCACAATTAAGCTGAACCTAAGGCCCCGGCCCCACGGGAACGCATACGGCAAAACGCATAGGATTAACGCAAACGCAATCGCCAAAAAGCTTCCGTCCCCACGCAATATACACCGGATAGTGTCTGCCCACACGAGACGGCTCCGTTTACATCCAACCGCTGGAAAAGCTGCAGTACATATGCCGAGCCTGTATGTGGCGCTGTAACTTCCTCCACAAAAGCAGTAACTTCCTCCACAAAAGCATCGAAGAAGAATGGTTGTCATGGCTGCACTTCTGTTTATTCTCCGCGGTGGGGGCCGAGGGAACCGCGCAGAGTTTTTCGCCGGTCAACGTGTGTTAAAGTTTAAATCTTCCGGACAAAATTATAAAAGTGCCGGTCAAAGGTCTTCATTGTTATTTATTGAGCTTTAAAACAAATGAATAACGACGATATAATGATATTTAATAATAAAATACACGGAGGCTGTCTCTTTTTCCTCTATTCTCACAGTGTCAGTGTCTGTCTCATGCAGCAGCTGATCCTGTAATGAGTGACCCGACAGTAAAAATGAACATATTTATAACTAGTTTAGGTAGTTTGAGAGGTAATTAAAATAGCTAAGGGTGATGATCTGACTTGAAGTGTGTGTTTTCCTCCCGCTGCATCACAGCGGGAGGAGCTGCGTGTCTCCGTCCTGTCAGATTAGACTTCACTCGCGTTTATGTCCATATCGAGATAAAGATAAATAATCTGAATTCAGTGTGCAGTGTACTTTTGCGGGGGTGAGCAGCAGAGGTGGGGAGAGGCGGGGCTATTGCGTCGTCATTATCAGAAACGGATGACCGTATAGGCGACCACACGGCCCCGTTGGACCCCCCAGAGCGCTCCGTTCCCAGATCTATCCACCTTTGGACCCGTTGTCGTTTGCAGGGTCTGTTTCTACGTTTCCGTTACGGCGTCGTGTAGCTTAAAGGGCTATACGCAAGAGAAATATGCGGATTCAACCCGTTTTCGTTCCCGTGGGGCCGGGGCCTAAGAGACCAATGGCAGCATTATGCCTTTATGATTGTATGTGAATATAACTTAAATCTTCTGCATTAACTTTAACGTTAAATATCTGCAGAATGTTTACTCGTTTAGCTAGAAGTAAACAGGAACTGAGAGTACGTTTAGTGGTTAAATAAATATTTTAATTTGCACAAGATATTTATTTTAAATGTCGTGTTTATGTGAAAAACTCTGACTCAAAACGTCCATCATGCTGAAACAAGTGCATGATGGACGTCGCTCAGGAACTAAGCAGAGGACCAAATGTCTCCAACGCTGTCAGTGTCTTATTTTGTTAAATGATGTAAAAAGTATGTAATGTAATAAAAATGTTTTTGTTTTTTTCTCGTACCTTGTGAGTGCCTTCTTCAAAAAGTGTTAAAAAGTATAAATTGATATAATGTTTAGTCCTGTAGTGTTTAGATATGGTGTGTTTATTTATTATGATTAGAACAAAACGTAAAGGACCGTTCAGCGCGGAGAACCTCGTGATGAGAACACGTTCTCCTCTCAGATACAAAACATCTGCAGATACCAAAATAGTCTCCAACATTTTAAAAACGTGACGTCACAGAGCGTGGATTCACTGGAGAGGATTAGGGCAACGAGAGGGGGAAAAGGGATGTTACTAAAAGTAGGTTTTTCTCGAAACAAACACTTCTCAGAATTTGTACTTGAATCCCTGATTTACTAAAACAAGTGAGAATTCTGGGATTTTCAGGACAAAAAAACTATTTTTTCTTTCGCCGGTCAAGATGTCCGTTAAAGTTTAAATCTTCCGGACAAAATTAGAAAAGTGCCGGTCAAAGGTCTTCTTTGTTATTTATTGAGCTTTAAAACAAATGAATAATGACTCTATAGGCCTATAATAACACGGAGGACGGAGATCTCTTTTTCTCCCCCTCTTCTGACAGCCCAGCAGCTGATCAGAGCACGTCTCCCCTCTCCTGCAGGGGGGCGTGGTCAGCAGAATCAGACCCATAGACAGCAAACAGCACATAGAGCGAAATGAGGCATGGCTAAAATGCATGATCTGTTTGGTATTTTGAAAACAGAAACGTATAAATATACCTTATTTAGGTATGGCCCTAAAATATATCATTTAAATATAGCATGATAGGTTTCCTTTAATATTTACAGATTCTGACCTTTTTTAACTATGAACTGACGGTTGGCCTGTTTTCCTCCTCGGAGCCGTTGCTGGTTGCCAGGCAACGGCTCCCTCTTCCGCTCCACAGAACACACCGACAAACCGTCACATTCTTCCCCGCTCAGAGCGCGCCCTGCTTTGGCCGTCCGGTGTCCGCGGCGGAGCTCCGTTTCTCCGTTGTTTCTCCTCCCTGTTCCCGGTGTTCACGTGCCCGCGTGAAGGGGAGGAAACTCAAACGCATCAGTGAGCATGAGTCACGTGGTTAAAGGGAAATGACGTTATCTTAATTCAGAGATATTTGAATCCAATCATCCTTTATTCAGTAATTAATTTAAAATGAATTAAATAGGGACGTTGCACCATAAATACAACAAAATATCATGTAAAAGATATATTATTTATTATTTAAAACGAATTATTATTATTATAGAAAATAAGTAAATATTGTAATATTATTAATATATTTTTTAATATATTTTACTTGAGTGAAAGAAGTTATGCAACTTTTGAAAAAATTCTGTTTTAAGTAATTATTTAGGTTATTTATATTTATTTAGACATGACTTAAATTATAAATAAATTATCAAAATAGTTGGAAATTATGTTTCTAATAATCTCCTTCAAATGCATTCATATACCACACACATGTTGTCAAAGGCTTTGAGAATATAGCTTTATTGATAAATACAAATATATAATTTCATATAATCGACACAAAACTAATAGTTAAGTTCCCTGCACATAAAATAAACATACATTTAGACATCAGTATATATACTGACCTGAATTCTGCATAATAATATATAAAGCTGAGAACAAACAAATCAGCAGCAGTTTCATATTATGGGATGTAATGATGAGTCCAGCCTGCAGGGGGCGCAGTGCTGCAATGTTTACATATACAACAAAATAATAACAAATACACTACGAAGCCAATATGATGCATATTTTAACATTTTATTAATATAATTTAATGTATTTGATGTATGTCTTGTTGCTTATGAATGCCCTGCATGTCTGCCTGTATTTCCCTCTATTTAAAACATTTAATAAGGTGGAAAATACACAGAAATAACTGACATAAAACATGAAAAACTTACACTATTTCCAAAACATCTTAATATTCTGTGATCTTGATTGGCTCCAAATTGTAATATGTGTAAACTTGACCTTTGCTTTAACTTTCTTCCAAGTTTCATTACAATTAAGGCACTCGTTTTTCTGTATTTCTGCTAAAAAGCAGACAAACTGAACCAAAAACACAACATGTATATGTAAGTCCACATATGTTTTGCCATATATTAAATCACCATACCATAACAAGTCTATAAAACATATAAAAACCTGAATAAATACACAATAAAAATGTATATAAACTAAACATTAGAGGATAAATATAGTGGTTATCCTTTATACACAATGTAGTTGGTGCTGAGTTCAGGTGCAGTGGGAGAAACGGGCTCTCAGTGGTCGGTGTGTTTGTACTGCAGACTGGTTCCATGGTTCAGAGGCAGCATGCTGTTGGAGAGAGAGCCAGAATAACACCAGCAACACAGACAGGACTACAGACAGACAGACACACAGACAGACACACAGACAGACACATAGACAGACAGACAGACAGACACACAGACAGACACACAGACACACAGACAGACAGACAGACACACAGACACACAGACAGACACATAGACAGACAGACAGACAGACAGACAGACAGACAGACAGACAGACACACAGACAGACAGACACACAGACAGACAGACACACAGACACACACACAGACAGACACACAGACACACACACAGACACACACACAGACAGACAGACACACACACAGACAGACAGACACAGACACACACACAGACAGACACACAGACACACAGACACACAGACACACACACAGACACACAGACAGACAGACAGACACACAGTAAACACAGACACACAGACACACAGACAGACAGACACACAGACACACAGACACACAGACAGACAGACAGACAGACACACAGACAGACACACAGACAGACACACAGACAGACAGACACACAGACAGACAGACACACAGACACACAGACAGACAGACACACAGACAGACACACAGACACACAGACAGACAGACACACACACAGACACACAGACAGACAGACAGACACACAGACACACAGACAGACACACAGACAGACAGACACACAGACAGACAGACACACACACAGACACACAGACAGACAGACAGACACACACACAGACAGACAGACAGACAGACAGACAGACAGACAGACACACAGACACACACACAGACAGACAGACACACAGACACACAGACACACAGAAGGAGAGAGAGAGACAGACACAAAGACAGATTTATTTAAGAGGACATATTCTGCTGATGTTCAGGTGTATAATATCTCTACTTTAAAGAGTCCTCTCCTGCTGATGTTCAGGTGTATATCAGTATGTAGTGTCTCTACTTTTAAAGAGTCCTCTCTTGCTGATGTTCAGGTGTATATCAGTATGTAGTGTCTCTACTTTAAAGAGTCCTCTCCTGCTGATGTTCAGGTGTATATCAGTATGTAGTGTCTCTACTTTAAAGAGTCCTCTCCTGCTGATGTTCAGGTGTATATCAGTATGTAGTGTCTCTACTTTAAAGAGTCCTCTCCTGCTGATGTTCAGGTGTAAATCAGTATGTAGTGTCTCTACTTTAAAGAGTCCTCTCCTGCTGATGTTCAGGTGTATATCAGTATGTAGTGTCTCTACTTTAAAGAGTCCTCTCCTGCTGATGTTCAGGTGTATATCAGTATGTAGTGTCTCTACTTTAAAGAGTCCTCTCCTGCTGATGTTCAGGTGTATATCAGTATGTAGTGTCTATACTTTAAAGAGTCCTCTCCTGCTGATGTTCAGGTGTAAATCAGTATGTAGTGTCTCTACTTTAAAGAGTCCTCTCCTGCTGATGTTCAGGTGTATATCAGTATGTAGTGTCTCTACTTTAAAGAATCCTCTCCTGCTGATGTTCAGGTGTATATCAGTATGTAGTGTCTCTACTTTAAAGAGTCCTCTCCTGCTGATATTCAGGTGTATATCAGTATGTAGTGTCTCTACTTTAAAGAGTCCTCTCCTGCTGATGTTCAGGTGTATATCAGTATGGAGTGTCTCTACTTTAAAGAGTCCTCTCCAGCTGATGTTCAGGTGTATATCAGTATGGAGTGTCTCTACTTTAAAGAGTCCTCTCCAGCTGATGTTCAGGTGTATATCAGTATGTAGTGTCTCTACTTTAAAGAGTCCTCTCCTGCTGATGTTCAGGTGTATATCAGTATGTAGTGTCTCTACTTTAAAGAGTCCTCTCCTGCTGATGTTCAGGTGTTTATCAGTATGTAGTGTCTCTACTTTAAAGAGTCCTCTCCTGCTGATGTCCAGGTGTATATCAGTATGTAGTGTCTCTACTTTAAAGAGTCCTCTCCTGCTGATGTTCAGGTGTATATCAGTATGTAGTGTCTCTACTTTAAAGAGTCCTCTCCTGCTGATGTTCAGGTGTATATCAGTATGTAGTGTCTCTACTTTAAAGAGTCCTCTCCAGCTGATGTTCAGGTGTATATCAGTATGGAGTGTCTCTACTTTAAAGAGTCCTCTCCAGCTGATGTTCAGGTGTATATCAGTATGTAGTGTCTCTACTTTAAAGAGTCCTCTCCTGCTGATGTTCAGGTGTATATCAGTATGTAGTGTCTCTACTTTAAAGAGTCCTCTCCTGCTGATGTTCAGGTGTATATCAGTATGTAGTGTCTCTACTTTAAAGAGTCCTCTCCTGCTGATGTTCAGGTGTATATCAGTATGTAGTGTCTCTACTTTAAAGAGTCCTCTCCAGCTGATGTTCAGGTGTATATCAGTATGTAGTGTCTCTACTTTAAAGAGTCCTCTCCAGCTGATGTCCAGGTGAGTGCCTTGGTATTTAAACAATACAAATAAAAACCAAAACAACAACATGTTGACTTTAGGATTAACTTAAATAAACCTCAGTGTTATTTTCTCTGTCTTTATGAAGTGACCTTTAAAGTGTACACTTCCTTTTCATCAGACGTCACGACCTCCTCCATGTTTATCACTGGAGATATTTTAAACCCTAAACATTGAGACTCTCACGACCTTTGACCCCCGGACTGACGCTCATATTCACCTTGAAGCAGTTTTTGAACTTCTTGGAGACGAAGTAGAGGATGATGGGATTGATGCAGGAGTTGATGGTCGCCATGTTGATGCCGAAGTAGTCGAGCACCAACAGGAAGCTGCAAGAAGAAGAAATCAAATAATGTGTACATCATCTTCCAATTTAAAAAAGATATTTCTGACGTTTTTTCAGGTATTTTAAACATGTTTTTAATGACGTTTATTGACGTATTTATGCTTATTCAACCTCCTTTATAAACTGATTTTTCATATTTTTTCCTAATCATTTCAGACAATTTACAAGCTTTTCTCAAACATATTTCATTTTTTTCATTCTTAGTTTCTACAGATTTGACGAACATATTTTGCATATTTTCCTGACATTTTTCCCAGATTTTAAACACTTTTATTCAAGACTTAATTCAGCAATTTGTTCACATCTTTTTAAACATATTTTACTTATATTTTCTTATATTTTTCTGACATTTAAAAAAAATATTTGACAAATGTATTTTGGATAGAAATTTGGGGGAGAATTTAGTGAAATAAATTAACACTTATAATTAACATCTTCCCATGAATTGAGAGCATTTCCTTTGCACTGATACAGTATATTTTAAATGTGTGTGTTCCTCTGCTTACTTTAGCAGTTCACAGCGGTGGGCATCGTGGGATTTGTAGGCGTTCCTCTTCAGGAGGCGGCTCAGATGGAGAGGGAACCAGCAGAGAGCGAAGATCAGAACCAGACAGAAAACTGCTTTCGCCACTTCTCTACGCTGCGGGAGGAAAGAAGAGGATGATCAGTGTGTGTGTGTGTGTGTGTGTGTGTGTGTGTGTGTGTGTGTGTGTGTGTGTGTGTGTGTGTGTGTGTGTGTGTGTGTGTGTGTGTGTGTGTGTGTGTGTGTGTGTGTGTGTGTGTGTGTGTGTGTGTGTGTGTGTGTGTGTTCCTGTTTGAGGTGTTCACTCAGGGCGATCCTCAGGCTTCCCTTCTGGTGCCGCAGCATCTCGCAGGTCATGAGTCCGTAGAACACAGCCGAGCAGGTCAGAGGAACGCAGAAGTAAAACCCAAACAGCCACCAGTCCTTCGCGTCTCTATAGAACTGCAACACACAGAAACACACAGAAGCTGAACCCAGTCTGCTCTGATTGGTTAGCTCGCCGACTCTGATGTGATTGGTTAACCAGTTTAGAGATATCCCGCCCCTTTAGCCTATCACGTACACAGTGGCGACTGGTCATTAGGGGCAGGTGGGGCACAGCCCCACCTAGTGTCAGCAGAAAGTATTACAAATAATGATTACAAAAATGCAAAAAAAAAAAATAAAAAAAATATATAAAATATATTTTAAGATCATGTTTAATCATCTGATTCGTCTGTACATTGCTGTTTTAGTCTGTGTTCTTCTAATTAGTGTGTCTACAGTCACAGTGTGTGCCTATTGAGCTGTTTAGAGCCATGTGGGACAAAACCTGATTATGCCCCTTCCTCTTGCTGTGAAGTGAACGGTGACTGTAAAAACTACACTGCGCATGCTCAGAGTATTTTGTAATGTAATGTGTGTGGCAAAAAAATAATGACCAGAGGGGCACAGAGCTACCATCCCCACCATACGTCATCTCAAATCATTCAGAGCTGATTGGCTGTAAGTACGTGTGCCGCGAAAAGTGTGCTGTGTGAAGAGGAGACGAGAGAGCTGCAGTGGCGCGTCCTAAAACCAGGAAGTAAGCACAAAAAAGCAATGAGATTTCTCCAGAGGATTTTAGAAAATAGCTCGAAATAAGATCTGTGGGAAACGTACCTGTTAGATAAATGCACGTTTTGTTCAGCCGGATAACATCCACATGTCTACTCTACTTATATAATTTTTTTATCATAAATCTATGGATTAGATTTATGATAGACTTTTGAAACTACAAGAACATAAGGAGGACTTTTACAAAAAAGTAATAGAAATGTTTGTCCAGAAGGATAGGCAAATGGACTTCATCTTCAAGTCAAGGTAAGACTGCAATTTGATTGAAAATGGGATCTTACTAAGAGAGAACAATTCAATATTTAAATGATAAAATTACATTTTTTGGGTATCCTTTTGTTGAACTGTCTGTTTAAAATTAATCGAAGCATCAGACAAAAAAAGCTTTTGAAAATAATATTATATTTTGGTTTAGGTCAAAATATAATATTTGTAAACCTGAAGAGTCAGTGCCAGTGCCTCACCAGCCATGAACCTCACTGCACGTCACTGCAGAAGCTTATATATAGACATCTAAGTTTGTTGTGCCCCACCACTTTTGTACATATAAAAACGCCACTGCACGTACAATGTGTTGGAGCGCTACATGGTGATGTCACTATGTTCTGGAAGTAAACAAAGTCCAATTGAGGCGTTTTCAGGGGGTTGTGGGAGAGGGAACACAGGGATTTGAGCCTCTGCAGACCATTTACATGCACTAAAACCTGTATAACACACTACAGTAAAGGGAAGACCCCAAAAAGCAGAAAAGGGCCCCTTTAATTAACGCTGTTACTAAGACATATTTTCATTCATTATTATTTCAATGAATATGTTCTAGATTAACCTGAGTGCACTGACTGCAGTTAATATGACGTCTGAGCACTGATGGCAGGTCAGCTGACCCCGGGTCAGTTCTGAGTGCACATGTGACCTGCAGATGTAAACAGGAAATGATGTTTTAAACTATCAAAGAGACCTCGCCCTGAAACACAACAAATCAGAGAGCCTGGAAACACAAGAGAGAGAACATCCGTCATACAGACGATCTGAGATCAGGCTTTACCCATAACCTGTCAAATGTGCCGTTATTATTTATTTAAACATCTTAGGCAGAATTTGGTATTTCAAACCAACTTGATAGATTTGTTCCTCACACGTTCAAATTAATGTTTGGTATTAATGATATCTTTATATTTAACTTTATCTGTATATTTGTTTAAAAAACTACTGTCTGAGTTTCATCTATTGCTACCTTTTCACATTTTAATGGTTAAAAACTAACATTGGGATTCTGTTTTGAGAAGAATATTAAACAGTTATATTTCTGGCCAATCATTTGGATATTTAACATATTTTCTTATGACTTCTTTATGACTTTTTACAGACATTTTACATCATTTTTGGACATTTTCTCACGCGTATTTGTGGTATTTTTGTGCCTTTATTCACATATTTTAGGACGTTTTTCACAAAAAAATGCAACATTTGACTGTTATTTGACACTGTGCTTAATACATTAATTTTTCAATTGTTATCCTAATAATTCCAACACATTTCTCACATTATTTCTAATATTTTTCTAATATCTGTCTCTCATTTTTGCATATTTTACAAATATTTTCTGTGTATGTTTCTGACACTTCTCAGGTTCTGCAGTAACACACACACACACTCACACACACACACACACACACGCACACGCACACGCACACACACTCACGGTCATGAAGGGGGTGTTGGGCTGCAGCATGCACGTTCTCATGGTAGCGTTCCTGTACTCGAAGGTAACCATGGTGAACCCGACGGCCTCGGGCACGGCGAGCAGCGCCGACAGCAGCCAGATCCCCCCGATGCCCAACGCCGTTACCATGGGAACACCGGTCCCCTGCACCCGGGACCAGGAAGCCACCGCCCGGTACCTGAGGGGGTCAGAGGTTAATGTGTGTGTGTGCAGAGATGTGAAAAGTACACACATCCTTTACTCAAGTAGAAGTACAGATACTCGTGTTTAAAAATACTCTGGTGAAAGTAGAAGTACTGACTAAACTTCTTTACTCAAGTAAAAGTAAAGAGGCTTTGAAATGTACTTCAGTAAAAAGTACCCATAACTAGCAGCTGTTTTAAAGAGTACCTGACCTCCCTTTATATTAATAGAACAATAATGTCATTGTTAGCTAATGAATGTTTCCATGCTGAACAACGGCAACATGACAACGTTTTCATTGGTCCCTCTTCTTTAGAGAAGACCAGGAAATGATGGATACACGGATCGTGTTCAAATCAATAGGCACGCAATGACTCTAAAGAATAATGATCACGCCACCAAACACACATTCAAACTAAAGGAACCAGCCTGTTTGGGAAATGTAAGAAGTAGAAAGTACAGGTATTTGGGTTCAACATGTAAGAAGTAGAAAGTACAGGTATTTGTGTTCAAAATGTAAGAAGTAGAAAGTACAGGTATTTGAGTTCAACATGTAAGAAGTAGAAAGTACAGGTATTTGGGTTCAACATGTAAGAAGTAGAAAGTACAGGTATTTGTGTTCAACATGTAAGAAGTAGAAAGTACAGGTATTTGGGTTCAACATGTAAGAAGTAGAAAGTACAGGTATTTGAGTTCAACATGTAAGAAGTAGAAAGTACAGGTATTTGGGTTCAACATGTAAGAAGTAGAAAGTACAGGTATTTGTGTTCAACATGTAAGAAGTAGAAAGTACAGGTATTTGTGTTCAACATGTAAGAAGTAGAAAGTACAGGTATTTGTGTTCAACATGTAAGAAGTAGAAAGTACAGGTATTTGTGTTCAACATGTAAGAAGTAGAAAGTACAGGTATTTGTGTGTGTGTGTGTGTGTGTGTGTGTGTGTGTGTGTGTGTGTGTGTGTGTGTGTGTGTGTGTGTGTGTGTGTGTGTGTGTGTGTGTTACCTGTCCACACTCAGAGCACACAGGTTGAGGACGGTGATGCCGACGGAGGTTTTCTGCAGGAAGGGAAACAGCTTGCAGAGAAACAGCCCGAACACACTGTCTGCAAACGGCCAGGTCATCGCCAACAGCTATACGCACACACACACACACACACACACACACACACACACACACACACACACACACACACACACACACACACACACACAGATTATTAAGTGTGTGTTATCTCAGTCAGGGGATATTTTAGTGCTCTTATCCATCTAACACTCAACCTGCTGACTGATAAACACACCACAGACAAGTTGTTGTGTATCCCATAATGCATTGCTGCTCCTGTAAACTCAGCACACTGCTCCCATCTCCCCAAGTGTCACTATTACAATGTTTGTCCTACTTGAATTCCTTATTTCAGGCATAGAAACAGATCAGAATGAGGAATAGAAACCACATGCATCATGTCAAATAACATCCATTTATACAAAAATGATGCGGTGAAAGTGAGTTTGACACCCGTGCCTTAGATACTGATAAAACAACATGTCAACAAACAAACCCTGAATCTGTTTACCTTGTACACGTTGATAGGTATGTCGATGGCGATGTAGATCAGGTCTCCTAAAGCCAGACTGGCTATCAGCGCGTTGGGGCCGTTCCTCATGCTTTTATTTTGGTAGATGATCCTCAGCAGGGTGGCGTTCCCGATGATCCCCACGGCGAAAATAACACAGGAAAGCACGGTGTTGATGTATTTGAAGGCGGTGTTGATGGAGGTGACTTTTAGGCAGCTAGGGGGCGACAGAGGGCGTCTTTTCAACAACAACGAGGCGTTCAGGGACTGCTTTCTCTCGTGTTTGTTGTGTTTCAGCTTGTTGTGTTTTGGTTTTGTTTTCTCCAGCAGGGTCGGGGGTTTGATGGCGGTTTCTTGGAGCAGATTTGGTTCTCTGTGAGGCGGGTCGGTGCTATGAAGGTTTGACATGTCCGATGAGACGGTTCTTTGGGATCCAACGGGGGCGATGGACGTCAAACACGAGGCGAGAAGCAGCAAGAAAACAAGGCTGGGTGTGGAGGGGATTCTGGAACTGGATTTGTTGCCAGAACTCTTTTCTGAATCCATTTTCACAGCTCCAGAGAACATCTTCAAACCGCCTAACCCCGGTGGAAATGTAGAAGTATTTCCAGAACTTCTTTATTCGCTTTAGAACAAACTCTACAAGCCAGATTAGAAACCGTTGACATAGACCGAATCACGCCTGAGCTGAACAAAGAGAGCGATAAAACAACTTAATAACCCAACGTTAGTCTAGATCAACATTTCAAGACCGTGTAGAACTTTTCTTAGTTTTAGAACGAGCGCTAGAACCTGCAATTTTACAATTAGACGACGCTGAACAAACGATATATACGTGTCTCTTTTGGGTATATTTGTTTTATGAAAGATGCCGGCAACGCGTCACGATGCAGAAATGTCCTTTAGCTCAGACTTCTGACATCCAGCGTTTACAACAGAAATATATATATGTGTTAAAGTTAATTTCACATATCGTTGCTATCCAAAATAACCGCTAATCGTCCAGGAGGAGTTGTTGTATTGTTGTTCCAGAAAGAAAAAGACCAGCTCTGAGTTCAAGAGGAGTTTGTTGACATTTGATGATTTCAGGCTTTGAGGAAATCTGTGGAGAAAACACAAACAAAACACGGGCTTTATTAGAAAGGGATGTTTCTCTAAATGTTAGATTCGACCTATAAGACAATTCATCTGTGTTGAATTAACCAATTAGTAGGTTGTTATCATCGATAGGAAACCAAAACAAATAGTTAAAAGACGCTAAAATGCTCCATTAGACATGGTAACAACGTCATTCATCAATCTATGAAATACAATTATATGCATCAATACACAATGACAGACAAAAGTATTTCGCTAAATGTTATGCAGACGGCAGGTCAATGTCTGTCTGCATTTAAGATCTTAATGTCAGTCTGGCTGTTGCTTGTTTGGTTAAAAGTCATTTTAATATTTAAAAAGTCCCGGCTTTAAAGTCAGGATGAAGACTAGACACAGCAACAAGTTATTAAAAGTCTACGTCTCTGGTCATGTGACGCAAAGGCTTTCTTCAAATGTGAGGAAATGTTACAGAATTCAAATATCATTTGATAAAATAAATGAAATCCAAACTCAATGCAACCAGAGAAGAAGTGTGTTCTCTGTACAATATACACAATACAGAATCATTGTATTTTTGCCAAGGGTATGTTTGCATAAAACTGTATATTAGTTCAATAATCAGTAATGGAAGTGAGTTTTAATGTTTTAATACATTTCATTTAATTGTGCTTATTGAAAAAGTCCATAATGACCTACGATGTGTTACAATAACAATAACTCTTATTCAACTTTGAAAATGTGGAATAATTTTACTCAAAGCTCAAATTGAGAAAGCGAGATCTTTGTGTTGAATCTCACCTTTTGTGTTTGTCCGTCTTCTTCTGTTAAAATAAATTAAATCCAACCAGAGAAGAAGAAGAAGAAGAAGAAGAAGAAAAAGAAGAAGAAGAAGTGTTTCTCAGCGTCCTCCAGATTAAAGTAACGCAGTCAGACTGAAGCTCTCAGTTTGACTCCCTCTGTCTACCCCTCTTTACAGTGGAACATCCCATAAACTCTGACACCATCTTTACTATCTGACACACACACACACACACACACACACACACACACACACACACACACACACACACACACACACACACACACACACACACACACACACACACACACACCACACACACACACACACACACACACACACAGTCTCACACACACAGTCTCACTCACACACAGTCTCTCACTCACACACAGTCTCACTCACACACAGTCTCACACACACACACACACACACACACACACACACACACACACACACACACACACACACACACACACACACACACACAGTCTCACACACACAGTCTCACACACACAGTCTCACACACACAGTCTCACTCACACACAGTCTCTCACTCACACACAGTCTCACTCACACACAGTCTCACACACACACACACACACACACACACACACACACACACACACACACACACACACACGTGATTGAACACAGCTTCTCTAAAGAGTCACTTCATAAAACCGTGTTGTGGAAATTGAGGCAGTGAAACTTCATTTAGACAAAAAGCTGGACTTTATTGGCCCGTTTGAACACGAGAGATAGCAACGACTTTATTATTAAACCACGTTAAACTTTACTCCACTTTATTCTGTAGGATTTTAACTTATTAAATGTGCACAAGGACGTGGTTCATACTGCATCTGAAGAACGCTTCTTATCAGTCTTAACAATAAAAGAAAAGTGCTGTTCCTGCAGCGTCTCATTGCTGTTCATGATACAGCTTTCACATTCATTCAGAAATGATCTTATTTAAAATCAGACAAAATGAATTATTCATCAAATGTGTAAAAGGAAAATGTAAGAAATACATATATAAAGTATACTGACCGCATAAGTAAAATGTTGGTACCACTTTACAATAAGACTACCCTTATAAAGGGTTCACAAAGGGTTATAATTAGGTTATGAATTAGGTTGTAAACACTTTATTAATCATTAAGAACCATTTATAAACCAGTTCTAACATAGTTTTCATACATCAACACAGGCTCACTATTTGGCAAGATGACTAAGCCTTATATTGGCTACTTAGCGAGAATCAACTCAGTGAACAACAGATACCAAGGATGCTAGCTGATGAAGGAGACGAAGTAAGCTAGGTAGCCAATGTAAGACTTAGCAGTACAGATAAATGTGGGCTCACTATTTGGCAAGCAACCGGTCACAGACACTTATGGCGCGTTTCCACTACACGGCCTCGCTCGGCCTCGCTCGGTATGGCTAGGCCTCGTTAGGACTGGCTCACTTTATGGCGCATTCCCATTACAGTTTAGGAACTGGGGCAGTATCTATAGTAACGCAGTGTAGGCGGAGCCGTGACGTCATCTTCAATGAGAACCCCAGAAAAACAACACAGCCGTTAGCTGTTAGCACTCAGAGCTCACAGCTCCTCATATCTGTTCAGAAACTAGACAAAAGTTAAACAAGTACAAACCACAGACTGTCTGTGTCATGGTGAATACAGTCGCTGCTTTATTTATGTCTGTATAGGCCGTTGTTGTGAGTGTGGACGGTCGGAGCATATACTGCGTTAGCTTAGCCAATCTCCATTTAGAAAACACGCATTTTTAAAGGTTTTTCGCCTGCCGTCTGTCTGCAGACTTGTCAAAGCATTAATTCATGGTTTTTACTAACCGGTATCAGTATGTTGTTACTTCGGCATCATTTTGAAACGTGTATTACAATTAAATCACGGTCAAATATGTCCATCTTGTTGTAGTTGTAGCCCCCTTGCCAGCGATGCTCTCTCTAGTTTAGCATAATCAGCCCGACTCAGCCTCGTTGTCTCTGGCCCTAGACCCACGATTTTATGAGGCCAGAAAAACTGTGAATTAGGACCCGCCGGCCGGTACTAGGCCAAGTGGAAACGCAACCAAAGACGGGCCGCTGACGTCACAGCCCTCTTAAACCGTGCTCCGCGCTGTAGTGGAAACGCGCCATTACACTCAGAGCTAACCTGTACTGGAGAGCATGTGTGTCTGATGAAGAAGATGAAGTAAGCTAGGTAGCCAATATAAGGCTTAGTCATCTTGCCAAATAGTGAGCCCACATTTATCTGTACTGCTAAGTCTTACATTGGCTACCTAGCTTACTTCGTCTTCTTCATCAGCCAGCATCCTTGGTATCTGTTGTTCACTGAGTTGATTCCCCCCCCCCCATCCATCTTGATGTTTCTTGGCATCTCTTATGACCATTTATTTACGAGTTACTAACATTTATAGTTGCCAAAAGGGAGCCTTGTTGTTTGAAACAAATCACCATTCATTAATGAGTTACTACCATTTCTAATAAGGCTTAGCAGTACAGATAAATGTGGGCTCACTATTTGGCAAGATGACTAAGCCTTATATTGGCTACTTAGCGAGAATCAACTCAGTGAGCAACAGATACCAAGGATGCTGGCTGATGAAGGAGACGAAGTAAGCTAGGTAGCCAATATAAGGCTTAGCAGTACAGATAAATGTGGGCTCACTATTTGGCAAGCAACCGGTCACAGTCGCCCTGTTTATCTCATGTCATATAAAAGCTTATTAATGATTCATAAAGTGTTCACAACCTAATTAATAAATGAATGACAAACTATTCATAAACCCTTTATAAGGGTACTCTTATTGTAAAGTCGTACCGAAATGTTTAGATAAAAATAATTTTAAAATATAATTGTAAATAAGAAATATGTGTAAAGAAATCAGAAATAAATCTGAAAAAATAATTTTAAAAAATCAGAAAAATATTCAAGTCAATCTGAAAGAATACTTGAACAAATCTGAAAGAATTATATAAATCTGATTGTGTTATAAAAGCAGTGACTCCCTGTTTGCATGTATATTTAAATTCATCTGAAAAATGTCAAAAGATTCAAAGTAAAATATGTAGAAAAAAGATCCGAAAAATACATTTAAGGAAAGTCTCGACATGATTTGGAAAGAAATTGAAAAACTAGGGTTAGATTTAGGAATCTGTTTTCTAAGAAACTCGTGAAAAATATGATTTTTAGAAACACTTCTCCCTCACATCCCAAAGCCACACACATGATGAAGATCTGATGAAGATGATGCTCCCGATTGAACTAGAGAACATTATAGAAAGCACTTAGCCTGCGACCCGCTCTCAGACTGACTCCATCTCAGTTTGTTTGTTTCAGTGCTTCAGTAAACAGAGAGATAAACAGATGAAAGCTGTACGTGACTCCTACCATGCAGGCAGATCACACACACACACACACACACACACACACACACACACACACACACACACACACACACACACACACACACACACACACACACACACACACACACACACACACACACACACACACACACACACATCATTACTTTGACTTCTTATATTTATCTAAATATTTGTACTATATTTGATTTAGTTTTAACCAGGTTACTACTCATTCCAATTTATTTCATTTATTGTATTTGTTTCTTAAATGGAGCAACTCTCACAAAGCCCAATTTCTTCCAGCATAATTAAAGTATTCTGACTCTGATGGAAGTAAAACAGTGTCTACATTTGCACTATTTCCCCCAAAAAGACACAAAAAGTCCCAAATATTGAACTCCCTTCATGTGTCTTTGATCGGTGTCCTATCTAAGAAGTGAATCAGCCAGTTACATTAAAAACAAGACGTCACATCGTGCCAAACATCCAGTAATAAGACTGTTTCCACAGCGATGAAAAGACTTTATCAGACCACCAGCTCTGTGAACTACAGTTATGTTATTAGTCTCCTCTCGTGGAACTATAAAAGCCCTGCTGGTTAATAAACAAATCACACTGGAGAGTAATTAAGAGGAACAAACAAGTGAATGAAACCGCGACAGGAAACAGAGCGTCAGCTGCTGCTGGTTCCAGCCTCAACGAGAACTTTATTGGACGCTTTGAAGAGAATACATCAGATTCAGAGAGTTTCCACCCTGTGGTCTCCAACATCTGAGAGAGAGAGAGAGAGAGAGAGAGAGAGAGAGAGAGAGAGAGAGAGAGAGAGAGAGAGAGAGAGAGAGAGAGAGAGAGAGAGAGAGAGAGAGAGAGAGAGTCTTTGACACAACTGTAACTTAACCCAGTTTGCCATCTTTTCTAAATCTGTTGAACTAAAGTATAGAATAAAGAAGATTTCAAGATTTTAGTTATTTTTCTCCATGTGTCTGTTATTTCTGAATGGAACGCAGCCGCAGTGATCTTCCTGTTGGGACGCGGCCTGTCCCTGCTGTTGCCATGGTGACGTAACAGCAGTAGTAGCATGAGCAACGGTGAAAACTTTGAAAACAAAAGTTTGTTTTAGAATCAAAAAGTGAGTGAATAACTATATTTCTGTTACTATCTCAGTGTGTTTTACCTTTATTAACAGCATAGTGTTGTTAGAACATGTTTCCTGAAAAAAAGAAGGGGTTTTTAAAGTTAGTTTCTAGGTGAAATAATTGTTAGTTTGTTAATATATGTAAACAAACTGTGCTAGCTATCTTAACATTTGAGATGTATTAGTCCTTTTTTTTTACTATAATTAACTTTTTTAGAATAGAGATAGACTTCTGTGACCTGTTGTTGATTTTGTGGGATTGTTAAGAGTTATTGACACTTATTACTAACTAGCTGTTAGCGGTTAGCTGTTAGCCGTTAGCTCTGTCATTACAATCCCCAGCACTGTGTAAACAAGAAAACATGATTTTAATAAAAACTATTACTGTATGTATGTTTTTAGTATGTATATTTTTTAAATATATTTCTTAAGGACCATGCATACAAATACATTAATCTAAAAAACAAGAGGTATACTAAATGTCAAACTAACAATTAAAACAGATCAAATACAGATGTATTAAATATAAACACTAGTACATTTGTCAATATAACCATAACTTGTTCTATCCTTTAAGCTCACTCAGGTACACTAAATGTGTTAATTTAAAATGTAAATTAATTCAAAGTAAAGAATTAATGCAATAGTATGAACCAATGCTTTGATTGACAGGTGAAGATGAACTCAGCAGTAAAACAGCGACAACACTCCGGGCCTTTTCTACCCGAAATCCCCTCCAAAAACAACAACAAAGGGAGGAAGAGTACTCAGCACAGGTGAGTAATACTACTGCAGTACTTATCAATAACACGCAGTGAATGACAAGCTTTATTAAAGTAGGTACGGACTGCTGCAAGTGTTTTGTATTTGTCTTTTCAGCCGGAGGAAGCAG